GTTTATCCCATTCTTTTACACATCTTTCTGTTGGAGCTTGGCGGAATATGTACCGACTCTGAGGACTCTGAGGAAGTTCCATGACATATATAAATATGAGAAATCTTGGACATCTATAATTTGAATGGCACTTAATTGCTGAATGTAATTCAGAAGTATAGTGTTTTAAATTTAGTCTTTTTTTCACCGTTCATCTGGCCTCGTCCATTTCAGCCAGTTCCGCTAGTATAACTATAAGTTTGTGCTTCTAGTTTTGGTTGCCTGTCCTCTGTTGTTTCAAGTGTGTATTTGTTCTTGTTAAATTTGTAAATATTGAATTCAAAGAAATTGGTATACTCTCTCTCTCTCTCTCTCTCTCATGTAACCTTATGTGTGTTTGCGAAGCCGTAAATAATGGACAGGGAGAGAGTTGTTACTGTGCAGAAACAAAGAGATCTTTTCTCAAGCAGCGATGGTTAACGAAATACAGACTTTTTTAGTATCATATTGCGTGAATACAATTTCTAACTTATCTTTCAGATGCTAAATCCTTGCGATGTGTCGGAAACACTAAACAAAACGACCTTCATAGTGCACGGTCGTCATTGGATGTCAGAGAAAAATGGATCGTTCGTCTTAGGTTTAAACTGGAGAGGCAACGCTAAAACATTGTCAGTTACAATGTGCGGGTCAAAATATTCGTTACAGTTCTCAATACCGGAAAAAACAACGAATAAATTAAATGAAGGTAGGTCCGACCTTGGACATTATATTCGTAATTTTGCCCATGGTCTGACCAATGAGCTAAATTAAATATATCTGGTCGGGCCTTCTTACCCTGCTTTCTTACCCTGTTTTTAAAAATTGGAGTAACAACCGGACATACATGTATTATTTTCCTACCCCTTTGTAACCCTCAGACTTCTGGGGCAATCTACAATGTGTTGTCATAGTTTAACATATGTGGTCAATATCTCCAAGGTATTTAATTCTTTTTAGATTAAAATCAAAATTACCACTGTTATTGTTTCCCTTTAATTAAAAAAAAAAACGTTAAATTGTCTAAATATTTATAATGAGGATGCAATAATACTATATATTTTCATTTTATTTGAAAAATTCGGTTCTGAATAAGGAATATTATAATCCCCCGTGTCACGGTCAATGATACATCAACAGATATCATATCTATTCTGGTGTTTGAATGAGTTGTTAGTCGTTCAAACTTGGGGGGGGGGGGAGAACAGTATAAATTTTGTGGAATCATATTGACCTATCCATATATTGCAGATTTTGCTCAATCCAAGTGCTTAACGTCAGAGGATATGAAAAAAGAATGGTGGGAATGCTCTCACCTTTGCAGGTGCCAGGGTATTGGGAATTACGTATGTGGACCAGACAGGTAGGTGGGAGAAGAAACGATTTAGGATTTTGGAAATATCCCTGTTGAAAGAAAACTTTGGATATATTTGCGTCTTAAGTCATGAATATGAATAAGTTACGGGTATTTTAAACTCTTTAATATTAATCGTAAAGTTGTTAATTGTCGTATAAATGATCAGTCGTTAATAAACTAGCGGAAATCCTGTTTAGTTGCAACTAGGCTCTCGTTTTATTGGGGTTAGCATGTTTTGCCAAATGAATGTCAATTCACATTGATACACAATCACGCAGCATTAGACTATATACCGGGGAATAGTGGAAAAAAGTCTTCTGGTGTTTATTGGGGGCTTCAAACTGTTAACCGTGATGTTATACCGATTTTGGAAGCGTTTTGCTCTGCAAATAATGGGGAAATGTCAATAAATATTTGAGTTTTAATACTAAAAGGCACGAAAAGAATTATCAATGTACCATTACGTAACAACTCCATGAAAGTCATTTGGATCAGTGTCAATGATGATGGATCATTTGTTTAATTATTAACTGCTAGAGAACTGACCATCTAACTTATCTCAGCAAATATGTTCAAATTTGTTCGATGAACATAAAATATGTTGCCCTTATAGTTTGTAGATGGCCTAAAGTGATAGTAAATAGACTAGGTTTGATATTAACATTATTCTTATATTTCTCTGTTTACTTTTTTTAAATATAAATTTCAATTCGTAGTATATATATAATTACCAGTTTTGCAGTGCATTTCCCACAAAATTACACAAAGTTACATGGAATCCATATATTTCAGATGTGCAGCATATAATGATATGAAAGCCCTGAATACGTCGGCAGAGTGGACAACTTGGTGTCAGGTGATAAAACCAACACTCAGGGTGGACAACAGTGACCATTATTGTATTCGGCAGTTTTGCCAGGACTACGGGGTGGTATAAAAAGGGGCGTGGCTTTAATGTGACATAGAAAGGGGCGTGGCGTCCATGTGATGAAGGGCGAGACATGACTGATGCGGTTCTGAAAGAGAGGCTGAGGATTGGCATGAAAAGGGCGTGACCATATGATAATAGGGGTGTGACTATTAGATGGAAATAAAGGTGCATGGTTTCCATATGGTATAGAAAAGTTTATATCTACATGTATATGGGGTTGCATACAACGATCCGAACACTTGCTGAGGTGTGCTACGGCTATGGACATGGTTTTATTGGGTGTAATATATGAGTGATGACCATATATTACGCCCATTGTAAAAGAAAAAAACTCCTGGTGCGATCTTTCAAAAACCACACCGCGCAGCGTAAAAAAAAGACAAGACAATAGCGCCACCTTTCACCAAAATAAAACATTTGAGCATCTTACTTTAAAAGGTGCTCCAAACTGTTTCAGTCATACAAATAGCAACGGAACCGACAGCATTTTACTGTAATCTGGATTTCCGAAAAGAGTTAAATAAAATTATTCCTGAGGCAGGAAATATGCATCAACTTAACCCATGTTGTGAAAAGGAGGAATAATACTTTATAAATGACATCGTCGGTTTTACCGAACTTTGAAGTAAAACGCAATACTACTGTGGCAATACCACTAACGCATTCAGGTGATCAACTTTGTGCTTTATTTAAAAAAGAGATTGACCACTGTATTAGTTTATGGGGAAATTACGTTTTCTATAGATTTGGATACAAATGAAATATCAATTACTTCTGAACAATGCATCAGAAAAAAATGTCCCTTACAACCCTATGATCATCTACAAAATAGAAAAGAATTTAAATAAACGGATTCACAATAAAAGGGTAAGTGAAACGACGAGAGTCGGGCGTTTTCTACTATGTCGGATAGAAGGATAAACTGTTTACCTGTTCATGATGTTTGCTATTTCACTAACAATGTGTGCTGATCGTAGTCTTGAGTAGTCGCAGTCTAGGGACGCCTCCTTGGGAAATTCAGGGTAGTGGGGAGGGGGGGGGGGTTTAATAAAATATAACTGAATTTGTATGTTTGCTGCCTTTCGGCATGTCATGTGGACAGGAAGCCATGTATGTATAGCACGCTTTCTATACTGATTCTTTAAGTTATAATGAAGTTTACATTACAAAAGAAAAAATAGAAAGAAACAAAAAAAGAAAGAAATAGAAAAATAGCAACGCTATTTGTAATTTGAAACATTTCCGTCGATTTACACCATGGATCTTACAATTATGTACTTCTGAAACCATAATCAAATCAGTCTGTGAAATGAATCATTGCAAATTATGATGTAAACACATTTCTGGTCTTATCTAAGCGGAGGCACGAGAGCTAAAGTATCATCTTACAGGTGCAAAATTAGCATTTATGTTTCGTGTTTCAGTGACATGTTCTTCTAAGCGGCTACCGTAGGCGTTACAAGGTTGATTTAAAGATATTTACCATCAGTTAAGTGACTGAAGTGGCGAATTTCCATTTTAAAGTATATCAAATTACATATTATGCCTGGTGGCTTAAAAGAATTGTTGTTTTCATTTAACCCATTTTTGCGTGTTGTTATAAATGTTCCTGTCTCAGAGGAAGCCTTACATGTATGCTGCGTATTCAGTTGATAATCCATTACAGGAATTGGCCAGTACGGTACATGGGCTTCTTCTTGAGTCTTTCTCTTTTCTTTTTGGATAATTTTTTTTATCTCGAACCTGCGTGCATGATACACCTCTACAAGAATACGTTTTCAGCGAGATGAAAATGCAAGGAAAGCGAATGACCCTTCAACGATAACTAAAAAAAAACGTTTGAGTAGTTTTTAGAGTTAAAATCACAATGAAGCAATGTCTGATTAGTCCTGAAATTTTAAGACAGACGCAAGGAAAACATGTTAATTGTACCCCGATGTAGAAGGGGTGTCACAAGTGTAAGGGGAGGGGAAGTCAGGTTACCTTGTTTGACCTTTAGGAAAAAAAGGGGAAAAAACTTGCACACAAATTTGTGTCGAGTCATATCGATAGCGCATCTGACAAGAAGAAATTATCTGTTGTTAAACAAAGAGGTTTTCACTGGCAACTTCTTCAACGTCCCGCTCGCGGCATTAGCTGTAAACGATAAGCTACTGTACAACATAAATTCCAAACAAAAAATAAAGATGCCGAGATAAAAGATAAGGACTGGCTATGAATAGGAGACGTCGCACGAATTCAACTTGAGCGACAGCGAAATGCCTTGATTAGGTATTTTTATTTCTCTAACCGTCCAAGCACGTTAAAACTCCTATGTCTTTTTTTAACTCTAGAAATATTTAGAAACGGCCAATTTTCTGGAGAAAGCACCCCGGATTTGCTGCAAAAATTACACGTCAGTTCATCACCCTAACGGTTAGTTACATTGTAGCAAGTCTAGGACAAATGCATTCGTGCACCCAATTTGGTTTTTTTTTTTAAAACTGAATCCTTTTTTTGTTTCGTTTTCTTTTGTTTGTGTATCAATTTGGGCCATTTTGCTCAATGCTTAAGAATATCAAATAACTGCCGCAGATTCTTTATCTGTATACATTAAGTTGGCGTGCGAGTTGGCGTTAGCTCTTCAGGCTGCCACCCCGGGTGCATGTAGTTGTGACGTCCTCAGCCTAATGCACGGCTTCATCATCTCCACGCTCACGCACATGCTACTTTGTTGTTATTATTAGCGTCAGTTGTGGGGCATTTACTAACCGGACAGTCGCGTGCTAGGCGGCCGTTCTGGCTGGACAAAACTGATAACGCTTAGACTGACCAAGGAGATAATACTTTCTCTAGTCAAAGATTTGAGTGGTCGTTCTGATAACGGAGCAGATACAGCTCAGATTTAAGGATATATTTCAGGTGAGATTCCTTTTTTATCGCTAAGGTTGTTGAGTTCAATGTAATTTTTGTTGTCGTACAAAAGATACTGATATCTGGGGTGTATTATCAAACTTGGGCTGATGCTTTATCTTTTGCTGTGATCAAAAGCTAAAAAAACGTTATTCACGTGAACTAAAATCACTGAATTACACGTATCTAGTTTAATATTTGAAAACGTCTCGCTCGATAGTCGAAAACTTTCAACAACAGATATAAAACAAAGCTCAGCTAATTGTAAACCGTACTCAAAATAACAAAACGGGGATAAAGATGTCAGGTAGCCACTCGTATTTTTGGTGATTTATGCTTCAGAGACGCTCATTCGACATTAATTTTACCCGGGTCATATGCACTATACATCGCCCCCTTCATAACAGGCAGGTGTTTGGCAGCTGTTACATATAACAGTTATCTGTATGCTTTGTCACATTTGATTTTTACTAGAGAAACAAATAAGATGTGAATAGAATATAAAATGTACACGTGTTGTCATATGAGTTTTCCGGTAAAACAAAAACACAGGATGCTAAGATTAAAAACGCCAAGGCCTCTTTATTCAACGTCCGGAGTTCGGGAGGAAGCCACACGTTGTCATTATTTGTTTGTTTGTTTATTTATCTGTTACTCCCTTTATTTTTGACTGGTAATTGTTGAATGTAACATAATATAACATAATTGTGTAAAAATACCAAACGGATGAGTTTGCAGGGGACCTTACCGATAATCAAAGATGAAATGACTTTTAGGTTCCAAAACGGTCTAAGTCAAGGCATCACACCACCCACAACGAGCTTCATTTATTGAGATCTGTGTTGCATCGAATAAATGTTGAATGAGACAACATTAATACTCGCAAATTTCTCGATAGACGACACTTTGACTCTTAAGTAAGTTGGGACAAAAGAAAATGCCTGGTAAGTCGAAAAGCGGCGTGAAATAAGGTGGTCCCGCACGCCTACTAGAGTTTCCATTCAACTGGGTCTTAAATTTATCGACTACTTTTTGAAAAGTGAAACAGGTGTTCCTTAAAATGTATATGACTTTATCACACCAAATTACATGCAGTTTACTCTTCCCAAAAATTTTAAAATAAGAAAAATAGTCTGAAATGCGATTAACATGATATACTATAATCGGCCTTGACTTTGTTGTAAAACCTATTTGAAAAATATCTTCATGCACCAGTGGTGTCCATGACAGGTAATTAATTGAATCTCCTGACATCTATCGTTAGCATTAACGTTTTCTCTCTGCTATACATTAAAGGAAAATCACAGTCCAAGCCCCTTCACCTAGGTTTGTCAGTGACCTATACGCTTGTTACGTGTACGACCAGGATAGAGCCGTATACATACGCTCTTTTTCACCGTATCGCGATTGGTGGGGGAGTTTGGTTTTACTTTTTAGCACGAAATATTGGGGCTACTTCAATTCAGAATAAATCCGTTGAAAAATCATTTAAATAAGGTAAGCATTGGTCGAAAACATCAGTTATTTTTCTCTAATTATAAAACAACCACAATATTTCATTTAAATGGCTGCTACTAATTTACCTTGGGTCAAATAGTTTTAAATATTTGTTTTAAAAGTTTTCGGTATTTTTTGTTGTTGTTCAAGGAGTTATACGAGACGACCCTCCTTGTTTTGTACCTCCTTTGCCAGTGGTACGTATAAAAGAGGAGGATTCTCATTAAGCTGAGGAAATCGGGGTTATTCCACATGTGCATGGTGGTTTGGATGTTCCTTAAGGAAATTGCTTCTCCGATGCCTCTTTATCTTTATCCTGTTTTCAGACTTTTCATGCAATTGAAATCTGGAAGAATACCAAAAACACGTGTTTTTAAATCGATGCAGATGGATATAAAATACAAAATTAAATATCAGTGGTGTTAAAAGCGTCACAGACATGTATAACCCTATACGGGTGTAGTGAACCGTTAATATGATTATTAACGCTTTATATGGAGCTGACATTCCTGTCAACTAAAAGATACAGCCTATAAATCCAAATTAAACACAACATACATCATTTCTCTAGTAATCGCTTCCATCACGTCAAATTGTTTTGTCGCATAAAACATATTACTAAGTATATAACCAACCCAACTCCTCCCTCGACTCCGCACACAAATAAAAATAAGAAAATGGGGCGTCATCGAAAGAGAGAGAGAGAGAGAGAGGAAGAAAGAGAGAGAGTAACTGTGTGCGAACGTTGTATTCACAACTCGCTGCCTGCTGCAAGTGCTGCAATTAATGCACTTTGAACTTAACTTCATTGCACATCATTCGACAGCTTTGGTAATTCACTTTGCACTATTCTAATACCATTATACGATAAGGGCATTTCAGGTGACACGAAATGTTTGGGTCAAGTAATTTGATGCCAAGTGTAATAAAAATGTCACCTGAAGATGACGATCATATTCAAGATATAGTAATCGCGTAAAAAAGGACAACGTTAGTTTTCGGGAACGACTACATACAAAGAAACAGTTAATAAAACTATTTGTTACACGACGTAGACTCATAAAAGTTTTTAAATGAATAATTCATGACTTAACGTAGATGACGGCGATTACAGATTTTCAGTCCAAAGGCAGTCTGCGATTACAACGAATGTACGATTTTTTGTTGTTCGTTTCTAATTGAGTAAACTTTTGCTCTCTCTCTCTATCAGATTACGGAACCAACTGAAACGCTTTATATATTCCCCAATATAATGCTTCTATTTCAACAAACCCTGTACATCGCAAATTATTTGGATGATATATTTTTTAGGTCAGTGAATAAGCTTTAATGCTGTTTTTCTGTAGACATCTAAGGTTTCCTCATTGAAATAAAGAGTTTACGCCATAGAGTCAGATGGAAACGGAGGTGAGATTTTTCGCTTTGACTGAGAATGCGTTAATCATACTGGAACGTATCTAAATGGAACCAAAAAATAATTAAATAGATAAAATAAAAAACATCTACAGTGGCACCACCATTTACCGCTCCTAGTACACTAACTGTAATATTGTGGTTACGGTGACCTGAAAGACAACGAATATAAAGAGATCAGCAGGTTGTGTCTATTCTGCCATTTTGTGTCATCCCCTTACGGCCGTTTGTCACCACTAACTTGACAAACCTGGCGCATGGTACGACTATGTTCAAATTGAAAATTATGAATTATGCTTTAAATATTATTTGGTTTGAATGTCAGTTGAAACCTGGACAAGTAATTCGTATTATTTGTCCAAGGTTGAAAATAGTTGAAGACAGAGACAAAATGTACCTATTTTCTGTCATTGTTTTTAGGGACATGAACTTATGGGGATAAAAGCTCCATACCCTGAAAGTATCGTTAACCTGCAATTACGCGTGTAAAAAAGAATCCACATCAATTCAATTGCAAATCCCGGAGACAATTGTTGACTATGATCATTATAATCATAATAATTGTTTTTTAAAAAATGTTTTAAATATATATAGGCAAGAGGTCATAATCCTTACGATTATCAAGAAAAACACATATAAAAGTTAGAGGAACTCCTCGGACCGAATAGTGCACTGAGCACCGCTTTAAAGAGTTGCGCGGTAGACGTGTCGGTGACTTGTTCCACTGTGTGAAGACCATTCGAGGTTAGTCACCATCAAACTATCAGTTACTTGAAGAATAAGTATATGTGTGTTTATTGCTCGCCGCCCGTTGTCCTGAAAATGGGTGATCGTGTTTAATATACCATGATACAGGACAACGGTACTGTATGGGTTTCAAATAGTTTGGAAAATGGTAGATTTCAGGACACGGTAAAATAGACATTCTACCCTCCACTCCTTAAGTTAAAGTGCAGGAAAAAAATCTGAAGCGGATGCTACTCATGATACGATTATTACTCCACGTCTGATATTTACATTGAGATCTACAGTTAAATGAAACTGCAGCTAATGTAATGGGGGCAAATTGGCGTGATGCATGAAGTATTACATCAACCGAGCTTCACTTGATTACACGAACTACTGGTAATGACAATGCATAAAAAGGATCATGCGTAATAAATGATCATTTGGGAATCCATAACCTGCTTATGGAGGACAAATTGGTAACCAAGTTTTTACCTCGCTGAATAAAGGTTATTATCATTTTCATTAGTATATCTATTAAAAAAAGATCATATTTGCTTGTGTGTTTTTCCTACAGATAAACATGGAGTCGCATCCGATGCATGAGATTCCTTATTCCAACGAAATTTTCAAGGAGAATTCAACCCAAGAATCGGGCGGTGTCGACGAAGAGAGCTATCTCACAATGTTCCGAATACCCCGGCCCACGTCTACGCTGTCTCAATCACCTGTCAACAGTAGCCCCACGTCGCTTTACGAGGCTGAGCCAGCATCGCCTAATGGCGCAGACACGGGCAATGGAAAATATAGGAGGTTATCTGTGGGCTCTGCTACCTCAAGCCTGTACAGACACCAGATTAAGAAAAGTAAAGAAACGAGAAGATGGCTTATAGGATGCTTGGCTGTTACCGTTGCAATATGTGCAATATTAGCTGTAGTAGTGATTGTATTGATAGCTTTGTATTCAAAGAAAGGATCGGACGGTCAAGACATTCCTTTGCCCTCTGCTGAGGTGAGTTTTAAGATTTTTAACTAATTTCTTTACTTCTTTTTTATTTCTTACAAATTTGTATTCGCTAATATTCAAATTGGGCTCCAACGTAATTGTTATGCTGGATCTTAGATTCAAATGATTTTATAGGCAGAAACGCGCCACCTTGAGTGTCAGAGTACACTGGCAACTCGTCTCTCTACTATCAGTATACCTTCAATACTTGTAACGGGGGAGGCATGCAGATAGATGTATCTGTATGGGGTTCACGGTTGATTAAAATATTGTAGCTAGGCTGATAGACGAGTAGATTTTACAGGTGTAGGCCAATGATAATTTCAGGAGTGTGAAGCACTGTTCATTTATTCAAATGAGGTATTCTTATATAAGAGGAAGTTAGAAGTTCTTATTCATTCAGCCAAGAGTCACCTTATAGCAAACGTTTACAGTGTATATTGACCATTAATTTTTGTACTGTATAAGTGTATGCTTTACTTCAGTTTTACATTTACAATAAAAGTCACTGGGCTCTCGTATTGCTACGGCTGGTTTATGTGGTAATTACTGCAGGTTTACTAGTTGTTATATTTATCAATTTAATTTTAATCTTAAAAGAGTGAAGAGTTTACAAATGATTTATGTTCGTTTGAATAGATGAATTAGAGCATAATAGAGAGGTGAGTTTTCAGTGTACTCTGAAATTCAAAGTAACACGCGTAATTCTAATTGTTAAGCAGTCCAAACCATACATTTGTGAAAAAAACCCTGCTGGTCTCATACCGCAATCTTAAGTTTTAGAAATTCGTTATACATATTTTTTCAGTCTTTAAAATTTACCAAAATGCATTTCGGGGACTGTCAAGTTTTACCCGACAGAAGAGCTGGTGTTGCAGCGACGCCTTACTTTGCTGGAAAAAGTGTTCCCGCCAGGGCAATCCAGAGCTGCTCCCAAGACAATCCTAACCCGCGGTTTGAGGTTCACTGCCTGGCGCAGGACGCCAGTAACTCAACGGTGACGGTTCAGCTGTCACAGAAGGGCTCTCTCACAGGAGTAGTACTGGTATTGCTCTCCAGCGCGCATACTGCATGGAGAATAGTGGACGGTGGAAATTTAGCTGGTCTTGTTTCTATTGTCCATGTAAGTACAGCGACTTTCCAATGTGTTAGATACTACTCACTTAGGATCTTTTGTCTATTTTAAACAGAGCCTTTTTACCATGGGTAGAGAAAAACACAGAAAGATTACAAATTATGTTATGTGATATAAAGTTACGCATCTTGAAAAAATAAGAAGAAACAATTATATATAGTATAAGTTTAATTGTCCTGCACAACCTTAATAAAAACATTATCTGTTGAGTAGTGCAAGAGAGACGTCATTACTGCGGAGCAAAAACTTATCAAACAAAATACCAATGTCCATTGCCAAGAGGGTCCATATCTCAGCGATGACGTAGCCAGCGCGGCAATGAAAGAAGTACAGCAACGTTACGGAGACATCACCTCTTTCACCTACACTCGTCAGTCTGACAGGTGGGAGTTACTGGTAGGCCAAAAGTCAAAAGGTATGATAACTGCTATCTTTTATAGGAAGTAACTTATTTTTTTCTCCTCCCCTTTATCTACCGTTGTCTTTAACATTATAATGGGGGGGGGGGGTGACATACTCTTCTGTCCCTCCCAACTATCTACCATTACCAATGGCATCATACTGTGGGGGAAATTACAGCGTTTTCTGCCCCTCCCAGCTGTCTATCATTGGCTATATAGCATCATACTGCAGGGGAACTTGCAGCCTTTTTAGACTCTCCCATCTGTCTGTCATTGGCTATAGCATCATACTGTCGCTGATGCTGCGGGGAAAGGTGGAGCCTTTAGTCCCTCCCATCTGTCTATCATTGCCTATAGCATTATAATGCGGGCTGTTCTTTAAAAAATTCTAAACATTTCTTGTTACATTCATGTTCATTTCGCATCTGTTTCTCTTTACACATATTTCAAATGATGAATATCCAACAATATATCTAAGTTGCTTTAATGATTTAATTTGAATAAAAATTCATTTTATATTATATGATATTTAAATACAAAAATATTTAAGAGAATACATATAAAATGTCTAATTTTATCTTTATAAAAAAGAAAAAATTGTATTTAATTATATTTAATTAATCTCTCTTACAACAGAAAATACCGCACAAAGTACGACAACAACCACGCCAAATCCAAGCCCGACAGAAGACAATTCGCAGTTTAGAAACCTAGTTAGCGTCCGTTTGGCAGATGGTCATCTCCCAACCAAAGGTCACGTCCAGTTGCTACTGAATGACCACTGGTATTATTTGTGCGAAGACAAATTTGACTTCGCAGACGCACAAGTGGTGTGCCGGACCCTTGGCTTTGGGTAAGGATTTGCAACATGGTCGTATTAGAAACGGTCGCACTGACATACGGGGCCAGTTTTGCAACAGCTGGACTCCAGTCGAAAGTTATTCTTAACTAAAACACCAAAATGTTCAGTGTTCTTCGATTTAAAATATATCAGCTGTAATCCACGTTAATTGTGGGTTTTTTTTCTGTTTCACTGAAAATAAGGAAAAATAACGTTTTCAATTCAAGTAGGCTGCTACTGATTTATGTTGAGTTAAAGCAGGCTGTTTTGTCGTTGTTAAGTAAAACAAATAATGCTCGACTTTTGGTTTATTGTAATACGGGACATACTAGCTTGGTTAAAAATTCCGTGGTATTTCTTTAAGCATATAATCCTGAAAAAATATAATAATTTTGTTTTCAATTCAAGTTGGCTGCCACTCATTTATGCTGTTTCAAAGTATTTTGTTTCTGTCGTAAAGTAAAATTAATTAAGCTCGGGTAAAAAACTCAGTTGTGTTTCTTACAGCATAATCCAGCAAAAATTGTAATAAAAATCAAACTCACGTCATGCGAGTGCATTTTTGATGCATTGTTGTTCCTCAATGTATTGTTTGGGCTCTCCTTCTATCACCTTGTTTTATTGAAGGGATCGAGTAACGTTACAGCGCGGCACATATTACAACACCGTGGCATCAAACCCACTACACGTGGACTTGAACTGCAATGGACACGAAGATAATATCACTGAGTGCGATTTTAGATTGTTGACGTCACGGGACAGCTGCTTGTCCAATGATGTTGCAGCAATAACATGCATACCAGGTAATGTGAAAACAACTGTTAAGTCTGTGTATTGAATTGTATTGTATTATATTGCATAGTGTTGCTTTGCATTGCATTGTATTGTATTTTGTACTTTGTATTTTTGAATTGTGATGTATATTAGTGATCGAGATCTTGAAATATTATCGCATAATAATTTTTAAGAAGGTGCAAATACTTGATGGTGAATATTATGTTTATCGTCTGCAATTAAAGATGGAATTAAATCAATCCCGAGGCAATGGTTTGCATTCTGGGGCAAAATAAAGAGTGGAATGCCTTCCTACCCCTCCTTGTTTGTCCACCATTACATCAATATCCAAGCGACATTTCATTTAGATACCACGACACCGGCGCCATCTACTGTTCATCAGAGTCTGCTGACCGATGTCCGACTGGTCAGTGGCAGCGTAGAATATGAGGGCAATGTCCAGGTCCGGTACGGTTCAACTTGGCGATATCTGTGTAACAGTTATTGGAGCAAGGCGGACGCCAATGTCATCTGCAACTCGCTGGGATTTAGGTAAGGAAACTAGTTCAAGATACCGAACGGAAGAAAAAGCCATCACTTAACTGATCAGATAAAACGGCTGCGATTATAATAGACAAAACGAAAAAGGATTACAATAAACAAAATGAAAAAAAGGAATTCACTAATACGTCACTGACTTGCTATTGGCACAAAGGCAGCATTTGAAGGTTAATGAGGCTGGCGTTTGTCTGAAAGCGACATTTTTTTACTGATCGAAACAAAAAAAAATTAAAATGGTACTTTCTCGGCCTTGTATTTTTGATGTTATTTAACTTCTACAGAAATCCCTTAAATATTTACAAAAACTATACATCCATCTGTTTTTCAGAAACGCAGCAACCATTTATCATTTTTCATACTTTGGTTCTACCCCAACCGGTGACCCACCGGTCTTTATGCTGAACTGCCACGGCGAAGAGAAGACCGTGTCCCAGTGTGCGTACACTGCGGACTGGAACTCCTATAATGCCGGTTGTTCCCCTACAACCGTTGCCGGTGTCACGTGTCAGGGAGGTGAGTCATTTAACCAGTCGTGACGTCATTATTTCACGCTTTTGATGTCACGATCTCGAATATTTTTATATAACATGCCAATTTTGAAAGTGATGTTTGAGAAATAAAAGAATATCAAAAAAAAAAAAAAAAAATGAGACAGGCATATTGATAATAAATAACTAACGTTTAGGCTTAATCACATAAAATTACAGAAATAATTTTTGTATGTGAGAACAAATGAATAAAGCTTAGATTCATTTTGTGTTTTAAAAACGCCTATGCATTTTTTTTTTCTTAAATAGGTCCCATCAAAAATTTTTCATGTACGTTTGAGACTGGGTTTTGCGGTATGCAATTTGATACCACGGGTTTTTTCGCTTGGGCTCGTACAAATGGTAGTACTTCCACCTATAACACAGGCCCCGATACTGACCACACCACTGGCACCGGCAAAGGTGAGATGGCCAAAACACTAGTGATTCGTATAGGACGAGTTGCGCGAAATCAAAACTGCGTTGAAATATTTCCCTGACGAAACATGCACAAAAGAGATTAAATGTGCGTGCGTAGGGTTCGACACAAGAGCACAGGCACACACACACATGCGCGTTTTTTGTACATGTACGACTTACTGTTTCTAGCATCCCTCTGACAGCGATACTTTGTTTATTCTGTCGCGTTTACTCTGTCAGTTAAACACATTTATATGAAGGAAAATTTTTTGTAGTACTGTACATTGTATTTTCATACAATTTCAAATATGTATTTACTGATAAATGACAGTTATAACCTATAAATCCGTACTCTTCATATCTTAGGTTTCTACACTTTCTACGAATCAAGCTACGGTATCCCTATATCTAAGCTATCAACTCCAAAGTTTATGGTGAACGGGTCATCAGTGTACAACGTGACGTTCTGGTACCACATGCAAGGTTCCACCATGGGGACGCTGAGAGTGTACCAAAATGGCAGCTCCTCCAGCAGCATCGTGTGGCAGCGACAGGGTGACCGCGGAAACTTGTGGCATTATGCCGAAATACACCTGGTTGCCAAAGAAAATTTTACGGTATTTTACTGACTGGTCGTTTTAATATTTTAGGAGATATTTTAAGAATTTTTTTTTTTTACAAACGGATGCTCGCAGTCAAGTAGGCCTAGAGTTTAATAAATGTCGGCTTCTGGACCTAGCCTCTAATAGTTTTGTATACAAAATCGTATTCTAAAGTTGAAATTGTATGTTTCTAAGTCACACTCGTTTCGTTTTAGATCGTATTTGAAGCGGTGAGAGGAAAAGGATCATTTTCGGATATTGCCCTTGATGACATTTTCATAAAAGAAGCTTCTGGTAAAACACTTTTCTGTAAAATTTCAAGAATTATATGATTTGGTTAGATTAATGTTTTTAATCCTTATAAATTTAATAGGTTTTAGATTAAGACAAACTAAAATGATACCAATAGCGAAAGTATTTCAAATGTAAAAAAGTTGGAAATTTAAGATTAACTGAAACTGTTAATTTAATGTCTTCTAAAATGTTTATGTAAATCAGGCCTATTCATTAAATTTAAGTCTGTTATTATTTCCAAAGAATTTTGTTTCAATAAGAAATAAACGAACTTTTCAAAAGTTCATCCGAAACTATGAAATTTTTTTTATATGTTTTGAACCATTCCACAACGGCGGTAAGAAGCAAACTATTTTGCTAACACAATAACTCTCATCCTTTTTCAGAAATCACAAATCTCGAGATCCCGTCCGAAAAAATAGAAGGTAAGGAAAGCACATTGTATAAAAATATTACAGAATATTTTCAAACGGATGGCAGAAATAGTCTTCGTATAATTTACCGTTCTTAATTCTTCTATGCATCTTCTCCAAGCATCGAAATCTATGCTTCTAATTCAGAATTGACAAATGTAACTGAGTGACTGTAACTCACTTGACTTTCCACGTTTGATTATAGACTATTTTCTGTTGATTTTATGCAAACTAGTATCATACTCTCCCATGTGATTCCTCCTTTTTTTTCCTTTCAGTTCGTCTCACGGGGGGTCGCAGTATATATGAGGGTCGTGTGGAAGTGCAGTACTTGGGAGAGTGGGGCTCGGTGTGTGGGGACGGCTGGAACATGTCAAGTGCACTTGTGATCTGTAGAATGCTGGGATCTAGGTACGCATGGAAACAGTCAGGTCCCATTCCCATTGACACCATTGTTCTACGTAGGAATTCTCGCTAAGTGCAATCAGCTTAACAATCGCCTCCTCTTCTTTCTAACGTTTTCGTTTAATCACCAGCTTTACTTTTTTCTACTTTTCGCCAGGAGGAGGCGTGTCATTCAGTTAAGCTGAAGTCAGCGAGAGTCCCTGCAGAGTTGTAGTCGACCCACGTTGACCGAATTGGTTGGTTTATATTTTCATTTCGAAAATACACGTATCATTTAGACCGTAAGCAGAGTGCAACACCATGAGTAGATTAAAATGTTAGTCATCTCGAACAACAGAAGTCACTTCTGATAGGGACTGCCAGCAGTAAAGACGACTGTATTAAAATGTGTTGTATATATTAGAACACATGTCTAACAACATTATTGGTATAAAAATTATGCGGGAAATACTATGTATGATGTACTCTTTTCGTTTAACGGAAAGCTATATAAAACCACCACTTCCCGCGTAATAGGCCTACATGTGCGCCGCTATTACATTAATTCCCCATATGGGTTCTTTCCTCGAATAATTAGCGCATTTAACATTTCTGAAAAATTTATAGTTTTTTAGATGGAAATAGCTTACAACTGATACAGTCTTAAATCAAGATAACTCACTACCTAAATGCTTAGATCTAGTGTGGTTCTATTACGGAAATGTCTCTTTTTATTTTTGGAAGTGGTTCCATCACTTTATTCACCGACACATTTATTTAGATGATACAGTAACCCGCTTATTTATGTAAATACATTTCTGATTTTAGCGGCGTCATAAGATCCTATAGCGTAACGAATTACCTTTTCGGTCCCGCAAATGGCACGGTATGGCTACGGGACGTGGCGTGTACGGGCAACGAGACCAGCCTTGGGCAGTGCCAGCACCCGGGATGGGAGGACGCTAAGAAATACGGATGTTACCATAACTTTGACGCCGCTGTCAAATGCAGGGATCCACGTGCGTTTTTTTTTTTAATTACAGCTTATTTGATTTTTATAAGTAAGAAATTATGATGAATTTGCTGTCATTTTTCGGAGGGGGGGGGGGGTGTGATGTGAAGGGGCATGAGATGTGGTAGGGTACATCTCTTTAAAATGGAAATAATACCTAAGTATAGCCTCCTGCTTGTCAAAACACACCTATTAATCTTTTTTCTTTTCCTTCTTTCTTTCTTTTGCAAAAAATAATGATTTTTAGTAAACTTAACTTACTTCAAATCATATATTTGTCTTAATATCAGTTTTTTCCTTTCTCAGGGGATGTTGGCGCAGATTGTACGTTTGAGAACGGAATGTGCGACTTCAGTCAGGATGATGATGACGTCATTGACTGGGCCTTACATCCGGGTGGTTCCACAGCGGTACAAACCGACCCTGTCATTGACCACACCCTGGGCACGGTGTCAGGTATGTAATAGGTTGAAGGATTTCTTATTCTTATTTCTTATTCATTTTATTTGCTGTACCAAACGTGTACAGAATGTGGCGATAGAATAGAATGGAATATAGTTGAATGGGATGGAATAGAAAAGAACAGAGCAGAGGAGAACAGAATGGAACAGAATCAATGCTAAATTGGCACTAAAGCAGTGAAGCAGTGATTATGTACAATCAGAACTAGAAACCATGATAAGAATAATAAAACATTATATAACGGCAGGCTAGAGCATCATTCCTGCCCGAAATGCATGTGTGAACATACATGAACTTTCAGTAAATGTGTTCTAAAATGGATTAACTTTCATTATAATTTAGTGTTGATTTAAAAGATAAACTGATGATTTTTTGTGATGGTGATTCATGTTGCAACGGTTTCAAGGGTACAACATATCTGTTTGCAATCTTAACTTGTTTAATGACGACAGCAACATGTTTTATGTAATTGCGTTAATTGTAAACACGACAAGTTACATGTAAGACCATGAAATGCTCTTTAATCATTGAAAACAATTCTAATTAAAACTTGCACTATCTTTTGCAGGTTATTATATTTATCTAGAATCAGCAAATGCTGTGCCTGGAGACAAAGGTCGCATCACTACCCCGACCATCAAAAACAACAGCACGAGACAATATTCCATATCCTTCTGGTTCTATATGAATAATGGCCAAACCGCTCGCCAGGCGTCTCTAGCTGTCTACCTGTTGGTCGATGGGAATATCGAAAAGAAATTGTGGGAATTCACGACTAAACGAGGAGGAACGGATTGGCGCTTTCATTATCTGAACGAGACGATAAGTAATGATTTTAAGGTTAGTTTATGCATTCAGTAATTTTTTGTAAAAAAAACAGTGAACCATTTTCTCCTAGATTGCGTAAAATACAGCAATATTAAGATCCAGTCCATGATTTAATACTGTAGGAGGCGTCATTAGAGTAAATACTTTCTCTTTTCTTTACTTCCATTTCTATGTCTTCCTGTAAAAAATGTATAAATTAACCATTGAAATTTTAAAATAAATAAAATAAATTTAATAAATTATTTTAGATCTACGGAGGAGCCTATTTTACTTGTTCTCGCCTTAATAATATTTTTGTATTTGTATTTTAATCGTCTAAATCTCTATTTTTGATTCACATAATAGTATTGAAAAATACACTGATGTGCTTCTTTTTTTTCAGGTTGTATTTGAAGGTTCTATTCACAGTAGTAACTTTACGGGAACAGTTAGGCCAGGGCTGGCACTGGATGACATATTTATATCTGACAACGAAGGTAAGACTTGAATTCTGATGATTTAAATTTCCAAGTGTTTTAGACATGAATAAAATTTAAAACGCGTTTCGAGTAAAGTAGGATAACAATCGGCATGGTTATTTGGTTAGAAGAGACAAGAGAGTGATTTGAGTACACAAAGTTCAAATAACAATTTTCTTTTGTCCTCACGAGTTCATTTCTTACGGGCCATCGCTCATCCCTTCGATAACGGTCTCCCTGCAAACATTCATTGGAACAAGACGTTGTAAAGAGACTCTTTATAACTTCTTGATTTGAAAGACCACTTGTTTCTTCACTGAACTTAAAAATGGTGAACGGTTACAACTTACTCGAATTCTTTGTAGTTTTCTCTCAAAGCAGAAGTGCATTCGTTGTCTCCATATGTAACTGGCAATGCTGCACATGTCACAGCCATTCAGAGACAATAACGTTCAATGCCCAGTTCCATCAACGCTATCCTATGGATAATAAGCCTACTATCCGAAGCTTTATATTATCCTATGGAATGTTATGCTGAGGACAGCAGGGATTTAGCATTTAGGATAGCGCTGTTAAGGACCCAGAATGCCTTGGTACTTTTTTCACATATTTCCAGGGCGGCGTTATTTAATTCCGAACGCCGAAACAATACGCTCATACAGATCTGGTACTTCAAACCCAAAGATGGGTTTATGAAGAAGATTCTTATGTTCTATGACCCCCTTTTTAAAATTTTCTCAAAAAATTCTAGGTAACTTTGGTAAGATGTTGAATGCGGAGTCAATTCGCCTCTCTGGTGGTTTAGATCCATGGGAGGGCAGAGTAGAGGTCTACCACGGCGGAGTATGGGGTACGATATGTGACGACGGTTGGGACATCACAGACGCTACAGTGGCTTGTAGGATGTTGGGCTACAGGTAATTGTATTTGCCATAAAAAATCACGTCAAGTGTGGATTTTACATAATGTTCCTTAAACTGAATAATTTTTAACAATTTAAAATTTTCAAAATAGAAAAGAAGAATTAAAATTTAAGACTTAAAAGTCTAAACAATGAGCACTGATACCTACTATAGAAGTGCGTGTGGCAATAGAACATAATATTTACAAAACGTTAGATACCATCATCAACGAAGGGTTTTTTGGGCTTGTTAAAATCACAAAATTTAATTCCTTCGTTATCCAGCTGCCCCATATCCTCATATACCCTTACTGTTTGCGGTATTATTGAATCTGTTAGCCAATGCAATTAAAATTCCTTATTTGAAAATCATTTCAATTTCTAAAAGTGATGCCGAGTTTGCATACCCCAAAGCGTACTTTGGCACCGGTTCTGGTCGAATTTGGTTGGACAACGTGGACTGTCTGGGACACGAAGGGTCACTTGAACACTGTCACCACAGTGGCTGGGGTCGTCTCCCGCTCTGCACCCACGACGAGGATGCTGGTGTCCGCTGTAAAGTACCAGGTGAGGGACCGAGAGAGAGAGAATTTACTGGTTGGAAATCTTATGTTAAACCTGATGCTGTACTAGTGCAAGGAGTGGGATGAGAGAGAGAGAGATAAAGAGAGAGAGAGAGAGAGAGAGAGAGAGAGAGAGAGAGAGAAAGAGTTATGGGTAAGGCATGGGAAATAGTTACGGTCGTTAACATGACCCACCAGAATAATTGTTATACACAAGCTTTTGGAGATAATGTAAAACTTGATTTTTTGCGATTGTTGGGGTGGAAACACACACACACGCACACAGAGAGAGAGAGAGAGAGAGATACGGGTAAGACATGGGGAATATGAAAAGGCCATTAATAAGACACATTAGAACATCAATTACGCACAACTCTGTGAAAATCTAACGTAAAACCTGACGGAACATTGATAAGGGATATACATGTATTTAGAAGATATTAAGAATTTTTGGTTTCACAATTTTCTTTCAGAATCCTTTAAAATGGGTGTGAGCAGTATGAACTGCACATTTGAGGAAGGTCTCTGCGGCTTCGTGGATTTCACCCCAAACTACACCCCATACGCCTACAACTGGACGCGATATATGGGCCGCACTCCCACAGGATATACTGGACCGACTAGAGATCACACGCTTGGTAATACAAACGGTATGTAAGACCAAAGTATAAAAGCCATCTGCTTTTTTTCGATCCATTGTTGTAATCTAAATCGTGTTAAAAAGGCTATAAATTGGTGGAATGCGTTAGAATTGATGCCCTTGAAGGCCACCAATATCTAGTTCCAGGCTTTCTTTTGAAGCAGAAGGTCGATACAATATTATTTGCCCCCAGTACGTTTTGGTGGCTAGTAGGTTTTAGCCTAGTAATAAATACAATGAACAATGGTTATTTTTTATCTATAATTGTCAGACTTGGTGTGGTTTTAATTGGAACTTTTTTCAAAGTAACAATTTTCTTTTTCAATCCAGGACATTATATATACACTGAGGGAAGCAATGTTCTCTCTGGCTTAAAGGCCAAAATAGCGTCACCCACCATCAACCCTGGGAATCACGGGACGTACAATGTATCCTTCTGGGTTACCATGTTCGGAAGACACGTCGGGGCACTCAGGGTCTTCCTGCGGCTTATTGACTCCAACAGGACGAACGATTTGTTGCTATGGAAACACAGTGGTAGCCTTGGGCACGAGTGGATTTTGGGACATTTTCTCATCCACACGAAATCAAAATTTAAGGTAGATACAACATTTGAAATTATCCAAATATATAGTGCGGTGGAATGAGTTAGAATATATGTTGAACTTTACTTTCTATATTTATACTGCACATGTTGTGTGGTAAATGCCAGTGATCTTATATTCTAGTATCCCGTTTTATTTATTCAATTAATACATTTTGATATCAAAACAAATACAAGTTTGACATACTTTTGTGGTCTACATTAGCTTCTATGACGATCTTTCCGTATTCATATTTTACAAAGACACTTTGACAGTTACGCATTACAGGGCAGTGCGCTTATATGAATTGGCGTCCGTATCAATGTATTGTGACGCAAATCGTAAAATTGTACATATTTTAGGTTATCTTTGAGAGTGTTCGCGGAAATGGTTATTTGTCAGATATAGCACTTGACGACATCAATATACATCCGCAAAAAGGTAGGGCAGCATCAGATTTACGTTTTCTTAAAATTGGAAACACAAGTCAGTTGACATGGACTTTCCGTCAAAATTTTAATTTAAAAGGATTTAAAGTTATTTATTATTTCATTATTACAAATTTTTTACAAGTTTGCGTTATTTTAGTTACAAAAAATCTATCATGCCATAGTCTATATTTAAACTATTTAAAAAAACAGTTTTGAAACGTGTTCCTAATATCGTTTTTGTTTTCTCTTTTCTTCAGAAAAAGAATTCTCCAAAATCTCCTGTACGTTTGAACATGGGCTGTGCGATTTTGTACAAGATTTGGACGCTGCGCAGCTGTTTACCTTCAATCGGGGCAATACCCTTACTCCAAGGACAGGGCCGGAAAGTGACCATACCCTGGGCACTGTCCAAGGTAATTTTTGGACAATAGTGGCACCATTCTCATCAATCATCAATCTGCATCTTAAGCACTGTCTAAACACTAGTTTATATTCGTCCCTTGTAAAGCGGATGTTTGAAAATAATTCTACATATACGAAAATTCTGTTTTGCCAAGGCATGTATTTCGTCATGCATGTTTTGGGTTTAATTAATGTAGTAAATGTACCGATTGAAATTAATGTTATGTGTGATGAATTTGCAGGTGCATTTTCTTGAAGTTTCACTTGTACCGTTTACTGTGATTGAATAAAGTTTGTTGATATTTTTTGTTTATATACACCAACAGACAGTATCCAACAATGTCGTTGCTATGTTTTTATAGTCAGCATTTCAATTTATTTCATGTACATGTTCATCTTGGGTTTAAGTTACAAAACACAAATTATGGGAAGGTATGTTTTCGTTGTAAATATCACTTAAGCGGCATGATTTTACATTCTTCTTGCTTTAACAGGTATATACGTTTATCTCGAGGCAAGCAACAACCACTTCAATGACAGCGCAAGACTCATTTCTCCAAAATTGCGTAAAAATATGACGTATGCTGTGACGTTTTGGTACCATTTGTTTGGCGATAATGTAGGCAGCTTAAGCGTCTACGTAGAGGTGAACGGCACCAAGCGTGGGAACGTGTGGAGCGTAAGCGGAAACCACGGCAACGTGTGGCTGCGTGGATCTGTAGTGGTCAACGGGACGGAAAATAGTTACGTGAGTGTGACTTAAATTCCCTTACATGCCGGCATTTTTGTAGTGATAGCAGTCTTTCCTATGTGTGTGTGTGTGTGTGTGTGTGTGTGTGCGTGTGTGTGTGTGTGTGTCTGTGCGCGCTTGTGTGAATGGGTTTTTGTAAGGTGGGTGAGCGACTGAGTGAGTGAAAAGAACAAAAAGAAACGAAAGATAGAAATGTTTTGTCATATTAAAATAGACAAACAGGCAGGAAGACTAAAGGGACAAAATAACAATTATATTTTTATATTTGACTGTCGTCATATCTACAAATTTTTGTTTGAAGGTGGTATTTGAAGGCCGGCTTGGAACAGCAGAAGATTCAGACATAGCATTGGATGACATAACGATAGAACCTGTGCTCGGTAAGTAATTCACTTAAAACCACCATTTGCTGACTGTAACTCTCACACTGGAAACCCAATTTTGAACGCAAAATACAAAAGATAACTGGGCTCCTTTATCAAAAGACATTTAATATTTATCGGAAGCGTGAAAAAAAGAGACATACTTTGGAAGAGATACAAACCTCAGCATTTTCTAAATAATTTTGTTAAACCCACCTCTGTTTAATAACGACACCCATGTTTGCATTTGCGTTATAGGCAGCAATATCAGCGCACTTTTCACTACCCCGGTGCCACCCCCGGTTCCTGTGAGACTAGTGCAGGGTGCATTCCCCTGGGAGGGCCGAGTGGAGGTGTACCACCTGGGCCAATGGGGGACTGTTTGTCACGACGAGTGGGATATAAATGATGCTCACGTGGTCTGTAGAATGCTGGGGTACAGGTAAGATATACTTTACAAGAACAAAGCGAAGGGGGTGTATTTAAACGCCCCTTACAATTATACTTTCCTTAATGATTTTGCATGTAGATGAGGCTTTTTCCGCGTTAATATCCCACTACATGTACATTTACCCCTACAGAAAAAAAGGATCCACTAGTAATTCTCAAATTAAATTAATTACACGGTGTTTTGATTTTTGAATATTTAACAATATACTAGTACTTAAAGGTCCATTTTGCTCAAAATAAAAATGCATAATCAGGAATGTCAAAAAAGTATGTAAAGGCGTATAAAGACATATTTGTCAATTTCTCATCCATTCCCGTTTATCGCAGCAATGCATCAAAGGTTTACAGTGGGGCACGTTTTGGAGCCGGCAGTGGCGTGACGTGGCTGGACAACGTACGTTGCCATGGAGACGAGATGTCAATTCTTGACTGTTCTCATAACGGGTGGGCAATGGAGGATTGTAGTCATTTACAGGATGCCGGTGTAAGGTGCACTGCCCCACCGTCAGGTTAGTGGAATTATCGGCAAATTATTCACTAGATTTTGATTTACCAATTTTGAAATACATAAATTGTTTATTATTATTATTTTCCAGATACCTTTTACATGAACATTTGATTCGGACTTAACTTGGGCCTTTGATCTTGAATAATAACTTGTCATATAATAATGGTCAATATTTTACAGTGAATTATTATGAAAAACGCCGGATCAGAAGGGCTTAATGACCAATTGTTCAACCTTTGCATAAGCAAGGTTAACTTTACTGATATATCATTCCAGTTCAATTTCATTTCCTTATAAAACACGTGTGATATACGCAAGCAGAGTGCAATAATTAAAACACCTATTTGCTAAATATTTTTATTGTATTCGTTTCTACAGCCACTACACCAACCCCCGTGAGCACCACACTGTATCCCCAGGACTGGTGCCACCCCGCGGGAACCCTAGACGGCGTTAACCCGTACCGACCTCACCCGGGAAACTGTTCCATGTTTCTGATATGCTTTAACAACGGGATAGTTGGAACTACCATATGTCCCGCTGGGGAATTCTTTTCTCCCAATGCTAGCTTGTGTGTTCCGGCCAGAAACATGTCGAACCAGTGCTCACCAGATGGCTTTCCTCTCTCCTCTCATGGTGAGTTTGCTGCCGAGGAGATAACCCTAGGCAAGGAAGCTGCGGCTTCGAGTCCGCGTTTAATATTTCGCCTACCCGTCTTTTCGTCGAATAAATACATACTGTTTTATATGTATATGTGAATGAGTATAGTTAAAAAGGCCAAACGCTTTATTTCCAGTAGATCTTCCGCCGCTCTGATAACGAAAAAATACATGAGTGAAACGAAGTGAGTCATTCTTTTATATTAACGAATTATAGTCGCCTGTGATCCTTGAATGATTGATTTCTAATTTTTCTTTCAGGGGCAAGCAGTTGTCAGGCGGGTTGGAGCCAATTCCAGAGACATTGTTACAAGTATTTCAATGATACAAAGCACTATGTAGATGCAATGGTTTTTTGTAAAATTCATGACGGCGATATGGTGAGCATCCTGTCTGAAGACGAGCAACAGTTTGTAGGCACACTGGTCGGGTAAGATATCAAATGTGATCGTAAAATGTAGATTAAAGCCTGGGCGTATTTTTAAGTTTTAACTGAAACATCTTTGGCCTAATTTCAGAAACGCCTTGTTGCAAACGTATGTATAATTCTGTCAATGGTTTTGGAAAGGGTATACCTTTGTGATTAAGAGAAAATTACTGAAAATTTCCTGAAAAATTCATGTTTTGTCATTGTAAGGGTTTAACGCCTTTAATAACGTTTTCAAAAGTTATTCTTCATGTGTATTTCGCTTACCTTACAGAAATAACACTGCTCCTGACACATATGTATACATTGGTTATAACACTATTCAAACTATGGGCCAGTGGGACTGGGTAGACGGCTCCATGGGATATTACGACAATTGGGCCGTCCTGGATTTCCAGCCGGACCCTAGCTCCACTGGTGAACGCTGTGCTGCTATGACAACGGAGCCAAGTAAAACCTGGTACGACAGGTCGTGTCTTGAAGAGCTGCCGTTTATATGCAAGGCGAAAACACGTGTATAGAAAGAGTTTTCATTTCTTAAAGTAAAGACACGATGAGTCAATATTTGTATAGGATACAGATAGGTGGCAAGGCATGGGGCTTGAACAGTGTCTTGAACAAGATGTTATTATATTCTTCGCACAGTCTTGCCTTTGCTACAAGCTCACTTTGCAATTCAGTTCCTCTATGCAGTATGATTTACAAACTTTGTAAAATATAGCACAACAGATCTGTAAATGATGCATGATAAGATATTCAGGACATTTTCCAAAGGAAACGGAAAATTTTAATACACTTTTGTGTATATGTGGTGCGAAATAAAGGGGTTACATAAAATGCTTTTAATGCAGATAAATAGAAAACCATATTTAATGTCGCAATTTTCAAGATACATTTTCTTTTTGAATTATGTGTGCATACGTTACTCTGTTCCCAATGTCTCTTTCAGACTGGTCTTATCGTTAACCTCTTGTGGTAGTCTTCATTTTCTAAACTCCATAATAATGAGATAATTGTAACTGATTGCTGAGAAAAAATGCTTTGGAATGCAGCAGTTGAACTTCTTAATAGCACTCACTGTAGGATCACTTTATTAAGATGCTCTCAAATTATAATTATTTTTCAAAATTCTAGGGGAGGGAGAGAGGGGTACTTCCCCATTTCCATTTTTAATTATTCACTGTTCAATAAAAGTTAACTATCACCGTGCTCAGCACATGGAACCAATGAAAATCATCTGAGATGGCCCAGTCTCGCAATATACCCCGAAAAATGGAAGAATAGCTAGTCTGGCGAGTGCGGTGCGGCAATGAACACACGCTGACAGAATTTATCCACGGGCATTTTTCTGTTCTTTTCACCAAGTCCTCTCCCATTACAATTTGTTGCACGACAGTGCGAATTCACCACTTAGATTTGTATTGCTTTTTTAAATAGGATGATATTCCCAGTGAAGACTTATTGATAAAAGTTTGGCTCCAATTTACGCGGATTCTCACACGTTTTACAGTTAGGACCTCATGCAGTGCCGCGACACCCTCGTGTTAGGATACCACTGATGTTTCTATTTTAATAAAATAAAACAACTAGACACGATGATTGAGCAACCAAGCAAACGTCACCTTACAACAACCACACTCGCTGGATAAAACTCATTACACCATATACATATATACAAAGTATTTCTATTAGATTATAGCTGAAAATATAGCTAAAAGGTGGACTTGTCACCGACTTTTCGGATTACCTTGACAAGGCTGACTGCGACAATGGTTTGGGACAAAAAAAAATAAAATAATAATAATTATTATTTCAAAAGTTAAATTAACTAATAAAAATAATTAAGATAAAAGAAAATGGCTTTATTTTTAAATTTGGCCTACAACTTGTTTCTGATTTGAAAGACGAAAGGGAAACTAAACAGGCAAATAAAGTAATTTTTTTCAGTATATAGTTGGGGAAATCAACAAATTATAATTTATATTGGGAAAATAGGGTTAAACTCAAGCGACCCCTCTCCTTATAGATTTATTCAATTGAGGTATGTTCACAGGGCAAGCACATCTAGATTCCGGCAGGTATTCGCAAATTGTGTTTTATCTGACCGGACAAGTGAGACACCTCGCGGATGTATTGAATACTAAAGTTAGCACTTTAAAAGTTCCAGTGGGTATTAGTGTTTTTGCTGCTGAAGTGCGACTTGTATCCTTGGCCTATATTTTGTAGTAGGCCTGTTTTTTATTTTATTAATTTCGTGCAACGAAGGTGTTCAGTGTTTATTCTTTTGTCTTGTTCCGCACATCCAAACAATGCCGATCCTGATTTCCTATGCACCCAAAGCTTCGGATCTCCATGTTCAACAAGCGGATTAGTATCGGTGCAGTTATGGCAGGTAAAATATCCGTTATACTCAAAATTACATGTATTGACAGCTTAATGTAGCCTACAAACTTGTAGAAAAATCATATTTGTATACTTCTTCGGGATATGAAACTGGGTAAATTGGGTCTTCTCTTTTCATTAGTTGCAAAAAGACAAGCATTGCAACACAACTTGGGATCCCAACTCCGAAGTTCAGTTCAAATCGAACTGTTTATCTGTTCTGGACACATACTCACTACATTTAAGAACGTTAATCTTTGTGTCATTATTTGGCATGATAGTTTTGATATATACTATGTGAGAATGGTGCAATTTTGCTGTTAAAACGTGTTTTTTTTGGGGGGGGGGTCTAATCTTGTGTCAAACTGTCTGCATCAGTGCAATTTGTAAATGTCAAAAAAGTTTGCATTGTTTTGTCTTCATATTGCATTTTCACATTAGCATTTTCTTTTCTTTATTTGTTATTTAATGAAGGCAGTTACAACAAAAATACTACCAGTCAGAATGCTGTTGTCCCTGTATTGAGCTAGTCTTAGTGTTTAATTTACTTTAGTCTAGAACAGTGTTAGAAATTAAGGCTGGACCGTCTGCCCGGGGCTGACAACTTTCAGAACGGGCTGAGAAGTTTTCCCACCAGGCAGACATTCAGTCCAGCTACTTTTCAAGATGGCTGGACTTTCGATCCAGCAACTAATATTCCTAAGAGGCAAACACTGGTCTAGAATGTAGTTTTTCAGTACTTACAAAAATATTAGATAAAACCAGTAAATACAATGTGGAGAGGGGAAAAAAAGTGGTGCAATTAAGTCATACTGATTGTAGCACCTATTATATTGATTGCTAATGGTAAACACCCTCATGGAATAATGGATATGGTGGTAAGGTTTTAATATGTACACTTTCTTTTTATTCTAGTAGATGTACACGCGCAATACAATAGTCCATGTTGCCTTGTTAATATGACAGATGCTGCGGCAGCACATAACTTAGATGTAGATGACAACGGTATACTGCGAGATGATGCTCAGGACACTGGAGGTAAGAAACTTTTAGTATGCTTAATAAATTAACTCTCTTACTACAGGAGCAGATTGAGGCCATCTGAAGTTCTGGGTCTTCCAAAGAAGTTTTTTAAAGTTTACATCGATGGGTATCTAATTTTTTCTGTCAGAAGACAGTCAAAAATGGAAGATGGATCAACAAAGATAATTTGGAAGACTGTCAGAAAACATCTTTGGCTTCGCCCCTGCATTAAAGCAGTCTTTGCCTTTAACTTTTCAATCCACTGGACCTTTATACTAGAAGACCCCCAAATAACTACTGGTCTCACCCAAAAAATATATGTTTAACATTCAAATGGCTAAATATTGATTACGTATACTACCTTCAACCCAGAGTTGACACTGTGACATTAAAGTAATGGTAGTGGTACATTGTAAGATGACACCAGTGACATCACTGATAAGATCATGTGTCATCCATCATTTGATACATGAGTTTTAGTGTTTGTAGTCTGTGATGGTGTAAAAAGAAATATGATATTGTATGGAAAAATCAGGGATGGTTTACAGGGTGGAATGTGATCTTGTAAGTACTTAAATGTATACAGCAGGCTGTATTATTGTACATGTACACAGAAAAAATGACACATTCACTTATTAATACAAGTGTGCTGTAAATTTTGAAAGTTTTTTTGACATATTTGTCAGTTTGCTTCATTGCATGGTTATGAAATTGACCCCAATTATTGAATAGTAATTTAGTCCCTTTTTGATTTAGAAAAAATCAAGTATAATTTTCACTCTTTTGAACTCTTACCATATATTCTGAATTCGAATACAAAAAATGAAAACTTAGTAATAGTAATGCTTTGATGATCGCAGAAAAATATAATCATTGGTTTACAGGCCTCTAATTCAATTCAAAATACCAGTGTCAAATCAGGTGAACATGTATCATGTTTTACTGCTTTGGTAATGTAATCTACAGGGTGACTACAGGGTGCCCCCTGCTAAGAGATTAGATTATGTTTATACTTCAGTTGCTAAGCAACCAATGTTTTTTAACCTTGGGTCAGAGTTGCAGGTATTTTGCAAACTCTTTTTGACATGAGTATTATGTAAAATTTGACTTGTTTACTCTGGGGTTGTGTTTAAAGTTACAGTTTTATTGCCCTGTTGGTGATGTTAAATAAGTAATAAATAGCAGAGTCAAAACCTCAGTGATACAGACATGATGAAAAGGAAAGAAAATGATAGATGGCGAAAACAAGGATGAGTTCATTTTACTTGGGTTCTTATCCGCAGGTCTACGATTTCAATTCATATGTGCACTTATAGATATCTCAATGGAAAATTGCTAAAGAGTATATGGCACATACCATCACGTGCACAAAAATGGTAACATGTTACCGTCTACAAAGTGGCAGCCAAGCACAACGCGTCATACAGACCTGATACTTTATTTCTTTAAAAAGATTTTAAAAGCTGAGAGTTAGTGTTGGCAGTGGCAGGTGGTTAGCTATGCTTATTGGAACTATGAGCACCTGCCACAAAGGATTAAATAATGTCACAGTATCCACGTACCTAATTTCTGAAAAAGATTTAATTTTGCGAGAGATGGGAGGCAATCTTGACAAATGGTGAATTTCTGTTTTAAGTACAAAGGAGACTTGAATATCATTGGACTGCAAATCTACAGTGATTATTTTTATAGAAAATTTTTGTTGTTTCTACAAGCAAGATGAGGTTTGTATGATTTTTACTTCAGATACATACTGAGTAACTGAAAACAACCATCAAAATCAGTAATATTTAGTACATATTTCAAAAAGTCAAAGCTGATTATTTCAAACTGATGGTTAGCATTTAATATACTTACATGATCGCACCAGAGAGCGTGCATCATGCGTTGCCTCCATGCACGCACACAAGAGGACCAGCATAAACAGGTCCCCCACGTGGCAGTATGAAGTGAACACATCAAGTACACTTTTAAGCTTGGGGCCAGCTTGTGGTTAACAACTAGAACAGATGATTTAGCTTGACAGAGGAAACATTTGAGTCTGGCAGGGGAAACATTAACTAGAAACATTAACTCCGTGGGTTTGACAGAAAAAATATGAAAGTATAACTTGAGGTAATGTTAGCTCACTCCGCAGACTGGCATTGGAATCTACGAGGGCAAGACCAAAAGCAGCAGGATCTTGAGAATTTGGAAATTACTTTTTGCATGATTAGGAGTGGAGTATGTAAGGTGTTTCAGACAGCGTGCTTTGTGAATCAAAGGGATTGGTAGGAGAAACAAAAATTATTTTATTTGAGCATCATCTGGAATCTCGCAATTACAACTTTGAAGATTGGATACAGCAAATTGAAAATGGAAAATGAAGGCATTTTAAAGACTTTTTATGTAATTTTGTTTTTTGGGTAAAAATAGAGGATTTTTTCCTGAGCATCATCTGAACTTCGAGAGGAATTGATATATTTGCCATAGTAATAATCAGAAAAGTACCTCAGAAAAAAAGCTTCTGCAGCTAGAGAACAGGTCAATGCTTTTAGTCACAAAACTCATTTGGCTGACAACAACATTATCTTACTTCAGTAAACACCAGAAGTGACATAGCTGGGGATTATCTGCTAGGAAGCTCTGTCAAAAGTATCAAATATGAAGAGGAAGACCAGTTATAGATGAAATATGAGAGCAGTCTTAAATAAAGAATGTCTTTACTTTGTGTGGCTGTCATTTTCATGTGGAGAGGGATAGTAAGAAAAGTAGTCAAACAACATTGCTTTTGACTTGTTTCTACTAGAAAATGCTAAATATGTTAATGTGGACAGAAAAGTCAAATAACCTATCAGGTCTTGAGCAGTAAAGTGTCTGCAGTTGATATCTTGATTTGGTTTGCTGTATTTTTCTCAGAAAAGTGCTAATAGTCACAATGAATTATAGTAATGTACAATGGTCTTGGGAATACAACTTCTTAACTGGTATTGATCGTAAGCTTGACTCCTTGCATAGTTAAGGGACCCAGAAGTAACTTGAATGCGAGTGTCTCTAATCTTAAATCAGATATGTCAAAATTAATCATTCGTCTCATTGCTCTATGAGGAATTTTGTCATGGGATTGACTACAGGTTGCTTGATGTTTGCATGTCTGTGATAAAGCTTGAAAATATATCAAGAAAAAGTTTTTAATGTGAGCTTAATTTCACACTTCAGAATATTTATTATTAATCACTATCTAATTGAATGTGATCTTGAAAACCATTTTCAGTTTACAAGTTTACATGGATTTGAAACTGAACATATAGAACTAGATGACTTCATTGAATTCAGTGAGGCACAGAAGGTGACTGACAGCAAAAGCTGATAAATGTGTAAATTTAGATCATCTAATTATTGAAAGTAATTGTGCAGGTCAGATATTGCCCTGGGGGCCTGCCAGAGAGGTGGTAATTTCAGACCAATTTAATTTTCAATTACCTCATTAACTGCATCATTAGCCTTGCTCCACAGAGAAATTCTAATATGAACCAGTTTTGGTGATCTCTCAACTCAGTAGCTGTGAACTTGGTTCTGTTACATTAATATATATGTATTGAGCCAACGGCAAACAGAACTTATGTGAATATTTCATTATATAACACAGCTAGTAGTTTTATTTTTTGCCAGAGGCACACATGATTATGAAAAACAGATTTGCCAAGGAAATGACAATGATGAAATGCAGTGGACACCATTTTTGCACTTCATAAGAATATTGAATGAGAATTGAGAGTGTCAATACTCTTTCACTTTATTATGAGCTTGTAGCTGATGGTCATAATTCATCATTGGATACTGATACTGATAAGAAGAAGACACAATAACAGCCCCCAAGGCTGGAGTTTATGTTTGCTCTTTAACATTGAGCCCTTGAAGTTGTGTGTTATCTGAAGTGTCTCACCCAGGGAGTAGAGTTTTATAACAAGTGAAGTAGTCTTTTTAAAGCAAGAAACTGTCAAATCTGGCAGTGAGAAGAGATTTTTATACGTTATGGATGGTTGGAAGACAGGCTGAGAGATTGACTGAAAAACAGTGAATTTAAAAATGTTTTCTGTGCAACTGTAGCTCAAGTTTAAGTCCAAGACTAGAGAAGAATTATCATTATGAGTCTTGGGTAAGCCAGTTTCCTGTAATACAGAATAATTTGGTCAATTTTTCTTCATTTGTCATGTCCATATTGATCTTCACTGAAAGCTGACTTCCTTTGAAGAGTATTGATACAGACTTGTAATTATGGTAGAAATTATTAGTATTAGTACATAAATCTAAATATATTTTGCCCAAGACAAAGCAGTCTAAGATGTAATTGTATACTGAAGACACACATTGTATTCAGTAATGAAAAACTGACTTGCCCATAGTGGCTGTTTGCTATTAGTTTTAGCCAAGGGCATAAACAATGAAGGAGAATGTTGACACCTGCCAGGAATCCAGGAAATTTTCTCAGTGATTGTGTGAGAAACACAAGCCACATATTTTCTTTCATGGTATGCTAATATGCACTTTGTTTAGTATCTGTTTGACTGAATAATATTATCCCTGAAGGAAGAGGCTTGCTATCTGTGGGGAATCTAAGGAATATTTCCGTGATTGTTTTAGAAATTGGAGAACTGTGTGAGTGAAGTGAGGAGAAGGTATAAGCCACTGTCTGTTCATTTCTGGGAGACACTGTTAAGATTGTATTGTCCGGAGAGCATTTAATGCTCCATTTTTTAAATATATTTCTGGGAATAATTCTGCAACCATGGTTTCCATTGTTGATGGATTTCTAGCATTTGGAGATAAGCCAATAAGATGAGCACTTAATTGCCAGAGAAATTTCATTTTTTTAAGTGGATCACTTCTACAGCTCTTAAAGACTCTGATGTATGCTACTTTATATGATATACCCAGGGCTGTTTACTGAGTAACCAAATTGGCTCTTCCAGAAATATTGCCACATAAATGTTTTGACCTAAAGGATGGTTGGAAGACAGTGTAAACATGCAGGATCGAATGGTTCTTTGAAACAGTCTGGAACATTACTTGAACCAATATATATTTTACATTGCTTTGAATTATTGAAAGATTGAGGCATATTACTGTTCAGAGCAGCAGAAGGAATTTGATGGAGTGAAAATGTATGTGAATTGATGATATTTGTTCCTGGGTATTCTGGAGCTTATGAATCAAAGACTACATCTGATTAAAATTAATGGACAATTTATAATCAAGGCAGTTGAGATGACTGTGGCTTTGTGGTTTTTTTACTTACATTATCAGTGTATTCCAGGATATTGGATTTTTTCATCCTTAAGGAACTCCTAAACACTACAAACAAAACAGGAACTGGGACACTCCAGATAAAGAGCACATTCTTGTTTTCTTGTGCGTTTCAATGTGCATTTTATTGGTGATTACAGAAGGGAGGAAAGACATCAATAGTTGAATGACTTAAATCTGTGGATTTGGATTAAAAGTCAGTTTATTGCTCAATAATCCTACCTGTTCAATTATCACAAATGGGAAATGCAGAGGGTAAGTTTGTATGGAGATAAGGATGGGAGATGGTTGATTTATTTATCTTTTGCATCAATTGATGCTTCAAAAGGTGTTAAATTAATGCATTTCCCTTAAAAGTAAGAGGATAAATGCCTTGTCAAGATGAAATAGCCTTATGATAACAAATGCAAGTTACAAAATCAGACTTATTAACTTTCTCTGACCTTTTTCTTTTTAGGAAAAATATTCATGCTATTTTCAAAGTTTGATTTTTACTGAATAAGTATTCTTTGATTAAACAAGGGCAGACATGATTTATCTGACTGAACATATATGGACTTCTTTAAATTTATGAAATATTTTAAAGCATAACTTAAATGCTTTTCATGTAGCTGATCTTTGGGTTAATTTGCACTTCTTACCATATAAGAAGCATATTGTACCAGCTGGTTTTGAGCTTTTGACACCTGTTAATAATATAACATGCTACTGTACGCAGTAATGGTCAAAGACCAGCAGAAAGGGACACGAAAATCAGCATTTATTTCTCCAAATAAGAATAATTTTGAAAACAGTTCAGTTTGGGGAATGCAGATTCAATAGATTTATTTCACGCACCAAAAGTCCGTCTTTGTGGTTGTTTACAGCAGCTGAGAATGTTTGTTGTTGTTAGGCTACCTGTGCTTTGATCTATACAATATTACAGTTGAAGCCTAGGCTTGTTTAGGATGGAAAAAAGCTGGGATTACAAGATATGATTTCAATACTAGAATATATTCTTTAGCATTAATATTCTTTAACTTAATTTGATATGTTTAAGGTTAAAAAATTCTGGCCTTAAACCAATACCAAATGGCATTATAAATACGTATACGATTGGATGCACTGTTGACATACTGATTGCTGATTTGAATGATCCAGAAAAGATGTGTCACATTTGCTGAACACCAACATAAAAGAAACATGAATATTGAGCCTGGAAAACTGTTATGCATCAGTTACAGTTCTTAACAAACAAGAGCAATTTCCATGTCTCTCATAAAATATTTTGTGTATGAATGAACTCAGAATGTCAAGAGTATTATTGCCACTTGTTCCCTGTCTTTATTGTGTATTCATGACTCTGAATATATTGTCTGCCTCACTTACTAACTCAATGTAAAATAGATTGAACAGCTTCATAAATTGTATATCATCCAGCATAAATGTGATACGTACTATCAAAAGTCATAATCAGATATTCTTATGGAACCTGCAAATTGTATTGACACTTGGGAATATTGTTCTACTAAATAATGAATGTTAGGTAAACATGTGTGATTGTGTGGCAGCTGAGTTTACCTTAAAGAGTCAAATATCTGATCTTGTAGAATTGTTTCTGCTGTATTATAACCTACCTCAACCTCTAGAGAAACAAGTAAATGTAAAAACCACCTGTCAGCCATCTTGAAAACATATCTGAAACCCTGAACTTTTCATCTGTAACAAACGGGAATCTCCTGAAACAGGAGATCTAGAAAAAACTGAATTAGTGAAATGAGCTATTTAAACTTTCTACACGTAAATACTTTCAGGGCATTATATATTATCTACTATGAAACATACATGTACTAATACAAAAACGTTTGAAATGTCAACTACTGGTCAGTAGTAATGAGGGAAGCATGTAAAATAATTCTATAGAAATGTAAAGATTTAACTAATTTGTTTATTCAGAGATATTATATAGGCATTTATAGAAAAAAAGGTTAGGTTATTGTTGAAGTTTGCCTATAGATATGAAGTGTTTTATATTTTTCATGTTATTTTCCAGGGATTTTCCTAGATGAAGATGGCATTCTGATTGATGATGAGGACCTCTATGCCCAGCACTTCACCCAAAGGACTGGCACAGACTCGGGTTTGGGACTCCATGAACAACCACCCTCCCAAGCTTCCACTCAAAACAACAACAACAAGATGGCTGACAACAGAGTGAACTATCTCAGTATCTCTCAGCCGACCCAAGATGCATCATGTGACGACTCTCACCCAATGGAAGAGAAGAGCCTCCATGTGAGCGACTTTGAGGATTCGCTCCAAGAGGAGGATGTTTCCCACAGGTCTCTGCAGAGTGCTGAGGAATCAGAGTTGGTGTATTTTAATGAGCAGGATAGTCCATCTACTTCCAAGCTAGGGAGTCTGAGACACCAGCAGGATGAAGAAGAGGAATTTTTAGGACAGCCATACCATGCCCAAGGTCAACAGCCACTTGTATTCCAAGATGTTGGTGATGATGAAGAAGACAACAGTATGTTGACTGAGAGTAACACAGATTCAAGACATCTTCCTCACCAACAAGACTCTAGTAATTATCCTCGTTTTGCTGAGGATGCCTTCACGCAGAATGACTTAACAAATCAGTCTGCAACTCAACAGAGGAATTTGTCTCTGTTGGAGTTTGAGAATTTGGAAAGCCATCTTGCTGCAGCCAGTGATAGCAACCAAGCCCCGGATCCTCTCATGGAATACCTGCAGTCCTCAAGAGAGAACAGGACCAATCAGGGGACTCTTGGAGACAGTGAGGATGTAATCCATGCTGTTTACGAGGAGGAAGGGGAGGAAGAGGAGGATGATTTCAGTGAATCCTCTCATGAGCAGAAGTCTGAAGGAAGTCGTGGCAGCAGCAGGCAGTCTCGACTGGACACTTTTAAATCTGATCAAGATGGCCGAAACACTGCCTCCTCATTAGGGCAGCAGACGTCTGCCAAAACTGTGATAAATATGTATGAAGACAATCTTGATAATTCATTTGATGACAGTATTGCCCAAGTGTCAGGTGCCTCAGGTTTTTTTATGACTGAGACAAGGGAAAGTACCCCTAGTCCTAGTAAGATACCAGTTTACTCACGCAACAGTCCGTCCACGACACCAGCACAATCTCGATCAAGGTCAAGATCTCATTCAAGCAGCAGAGTGAATAGCCGTCCAAATACCCCACACAGTGGGAGAAATACCCCAAGTCGAATTCCAAAATGGACCCGGAGTGGATCACCCCAGGCGCCACCTGTATCTCAGTCAAACAGTCGCACAGGAAGTCCGAGCTCACGTCCATGGAGTCGCAATGAGAGTCCACTCCGAGCAGAGACTCCTAGTAAAATACCAGTTTTGGGTGAAAGGTCTAGCAGGCCTACAAGTAGGTCAAACACCCCTGTGGGTTCAAGAAGAGGTGGATCTTCACCAAAGACCAGCACACCGTCCACACCTGTCAAAGGTCTCAAGTCAGGGAGTAGCAGCAGAATACCCTCACCAAAGTTCAGTAAAGGAGAACCTAAAATTCAAAAATCTCACAGCCAAATGTATAGCCGTCCAAGGTCTAGTGACAGTCAGAGATCAGGGTATCGATCTAAAAAATCTAGCAGTGATTCTCGGCCTGATTCTGGAAGTAGTAGGAGGTCTGGGTACAGCAGCAGAGGTAGGGGGAGCCCCAAACTGTCCAGTCAAACTAAACCCAAGACAAGCTATAGTGAAACCAGAGCTGATGAACCTTATTCATCCTCTAACAGGGGCATGTTTACTCAAGCCAACAGGGAAGCCTACATGCAAAAACAACCACAAGGAATTTCCCATGCTGATTCACACAATGCTGGGCCGGCCGGCGATTTCTGGTCCAAATCACAACAACGTCAGTCTGCCAGTGAACCTGAGTACACGGAAGAAAATACACAAAGTGGAAATCACTACAGTGCCAAGTCTGAACAGAATTCTGAATTTGATGAGGAAGAAAATGCCACCAGGGAATCACTTGGACAGATTGATCATGGTGCGCCTGGTTTCCCATTAATCTTGCCAGATAAACCACTGAAACCATCCAAAACATTCAAAGTCAGACACTCCAGTGGAGTGAGAGGACGGACTAATCGTCCTCTTCGTGTCATGTCGGATAGGAGTTCCGGAGAGCACGATGAAATAATGAGTATTTCGTCTGATGCCTCCAAAGGACAACTCACAGCTAGATTAAAAGAGGAAAAGACTCAGAGGAAACACACTGATGAGCTGGTTCATCAACTGCAGGTTAGTGATATGGATTTATTTTAAGATAAAAAAAGATCATCAATGATATTTGAAATAGTGAAAAATGGATGCTGAATCTGTAGGGCTTATTTATTCATTTATTAACTTTTTAAAATAATTTTTTAATTTGGGAAGGCATGTTTTCTTTTTTGTTGTTGTATAATAGAAAAGCAGTTTTGAAAAAATCATTTGTTTTTCAAGATGACATTGAATTAAAGGCACTGAAAATTAAAATCCTGTAGAGTAAAATTGCTTATCAAAATTATCACATATCCTCTCACAGGATATACAATTTTATTTCCTTTATCAGAATGACTATGACAAACTACTGGAGAAGTATGCCCTAGCTGAGGTCACCATTGACCAGTTGCGTCTTGGTGCCAAAATCCACCTTCACTCGGACCCCCCAGAGGCCAGTCGTAGTTACCAGGGTGTGGTGCCGGCGCCACAGAGACTACAGGTGTTCGATATACCCAAGACATCAAGAGCCACCATGGGGGTGATTGGGACAGGACCTCAGAAAGGTAAGTAGTAATCTTAACCAGTATAAGATAATCCTCATTTGAATGCAATAGTATACCCTTGGGAACATTAAAAAAAATTGAAAATGTTTTTCTGTTTTTGCTTTCTTTTTTTCCCCAGCAGGTTGGTTAATCTATATAATTATCAGGAAGGCCAGATGTGGGTTGTTTTACACCACGGCAACATTTTGGCGCATATTTTGCAGACAGTAATTTCCTTCACGTCTGACCTGAACCTATAATTGAATTAAAGCAACTTAGACCTTGAGTGTGGCGCAGACTTCTACCCACTGAACTGTGTGTTCTTTACTGATAAGCTAGAATTGAGAACTGTAGACACAAAATAAGATCCAGGCAGCTTACATTTTCTATGCCATATATATAAAAACTTTTTACCAGCTGCATATTTATAGGTAGAGATTCAGCAACGAATCCATCAGCTGTGTTCTGCAACTCAAAATAATTATGAAATGTTCTTCCAACAACAGATAAAAATTAGAGTTTTTACCATTCCAATATTTAATTATTTCACAGGACACCATTAGGGATGGCACAAAGTACTTAGAGATTGTAAATTTATATTGAATTTCATACATCACTATACGTTTGACAGGATTTTATTTGTGGAAGGGGAAAAAAAAGAAATAAACAGAAAAACCATGTAAATGAGAACTGCAGCTTTCTGCTGATGAAATAAAATTAAGAGGAAAAGATGAAATTTGCTTGCAAATTGTTCCCATAGAAACATTTTGAAAAGCTGGTATTTACAAACTGCCTTTATTAAATTTTCTGCCCAGCTGTTGAGTTGGATTCTTCATGGTTCTGTCACATACATACAGCTAGTTGATTTGATTTATTGGGATGGAGCAGCAAATTGAAATACTATGAAACTGATTCAGACCATAATTCATAAAAGTCTGCAGGTGCTGTGAAATGATTTTTACACAGATTTTTAAAGTATTTCATTTTATTCCTAAAGCATTACCCTTTTATGTTGGGGGTGGGGGGAGGGAGAATTGATAAAAACTTTGGTGCTTTGAATTCACCAGTGCATGTGGGGGGTCCAGGATTTTTCTGTAATTGTCAGGAGGATGCACAAGATTATTTCTTTGCTGCGCTGCCTTTGGCAAGTGAAATTGAAAAGTGCATGTGCACGCTTTCCGGATTTGCCAATTAAGTGTGCTTGTGTAAGTAATACTCTTACTGAAATAATGTAATGGCAGCCAAACTAACACTCCTTTATTGTGTTATGAAGCACTTCATCTGTATTGCTGTATCAGTTGTTTACTGCATGATACATATTCTGTAGAAATGATTTATGTACAAGATGAGGTGAGGTAAAATACCTCAGACCAGAGTTGTATATATATATATACCTCACACTGTTATCATGCACCAAGTTCTTCTGCTCTGTTAAACAAACAGCTGTTAAGTACAAGAAACAGATACATCTTTATTATCTTCTGCTCTCAGAACAAATAATAAACCTGTGCAGTGGGAAATTCTTAGAAACATGGATTGTGAATGATAATGCAATTCTGATTGGCAGAGCAAGTGATATTTAAGAAAGGCTTTGGTTGGGGATTTTTCTATTTTCTACACTTGGCATTATTGCTAGTAAAAATGTATGTGGAGGGGTTGAGGTAGGGGGATACATACACATGCCTTTGATCCCACCCTGTGTCCTCCCTGAATATACCTGTAGTTTGATTATATAATCTCTTGGTATTATCCTTTAACCAAGAATGATTTAATTAATCTTAAGCTTGAAGTTGAAATATCACTTGATAAAAGAGGTTTTAGGCTTGCGCGTAGACTTAACTGCTAGATTTGTACACTTATGTGAAAGCAAAACACAATGCTAAATGGTTAACAATCTCATATCTTGTTATAGCTCAGTTGAGTGTGGGACAGTCACCAGGTGATGCCACTATGCAGTCACCAAAGCAACATGACTCCTCCAATGATACCTCAGGCCTGGATGGCAACTCATCTCTCACTGCAACCACTAGCGGAGAAAGCTGGAAGCTGGCTTTAACATTTCAGGCTAAAGGTCTCGAGGACAAGGTACAACTGTGTTCAAGATTTAACTTAAAATAATTGATAAACTCAGAATGCTATATGTGGAGCTTTGAGGGCTTTTCCCATTAGATTAATATAAGATATGAGCATAGTGTAAGGAATTGTACATAATCATAATCTGTCACCTCAGTAAGGAGTTTTTTAATAAAGGAAGTAGGCTGTAATTGTTACATTTTCTAATGACCTTTCTCCAAGTAGGACGTTCTGCTCAGCCAGTTTTTGTCACTTGATATTCTAAGTGCACAAAGAAAATGATGGTACATTAATATTTGTGTAAAAGCTTATAATCATTCATTTTAATACCTTTATTTCCAGCTCAACTCTTTTGAAATGCTGTTGAATGAGCATCAGCTTGAACCAGCAGAACAAGAACTTGTCTACAACAAGATCAGGTCAGAGTTTGACAAACTACAGCAAGATTATAGGGCAGCGAAGGAGAACCACGAACAAATGAGAAGGCAGGGGACCCTGGCAAGTGGAGGTACCAACATGGACTTTGATGAGGATAAGGAGATGGAGGGAGAACTCTTTAAACTTGGTATGAAACTTGAGGCAATTGGGGAACGTGTGGAAGAGGACTTAGATTCCAGGCCTTCCAGTAGAGTTCCTTTTCAAGAACATTCTCACAGGCATTCTTCACATGGTGGAGGCCATGGTCATCATAATAAGGGTCAAGGTCATGATCATCACAAACAAGGTCATGGTCATTCGCCTCCAAGGTCAAGGACATCCAGCACTTCAGTAAAGCAGAAAAAGAAACCGTCAAAGGTTGAAAGTGTGACTGATACTTTAGATGCCCCTGTGGAGCCTGTTATAGGCAGCAAGCTTCAGCAGTTGCAAGAGGAGTACAGGGCTCTTATAGACAGGTATGATAGGCTGAAGAGATTGCCTAGGACACCTGATAGAGACAGGGAGATAAGTCAGTTGATAGAGAAGATACAAGAACTCAGCAAAGAGTCCCCAAGAGATTTTCCATTGCCATTAGACCTGCAGAAAAGGTGAGTGAAAATACATGTTATATCTTTTCCACCAACCAGTGTGGCTTTGAATCTTCACTTTAGCAGGTGCAGTTGTTTCTATTAAAACTGCTTTGATTTCAGCCTTGTTAGATATTGATTTTGTTGCAGAAATAAGTCAATTGAATTATTTTGAAATAAAAAATTTACCACATTTAAGGCATTATCTTTGTATTTTATTTATAATCGATAAAGAATTGATTGAGTGTGACCTGTAAAAATTAAGGTTATAAATGTTCATTAGCTTTCAATACATTACAATATTTTTATGGTCATTGACAACTGTAACTTTCGTTGAAATTCCAGTACTTTACCAAGAGCTGAAGAGAGGCAGTACAACTCCAGCAGCCCTGATGGCTATCACTATACAGACTCAAGTTCACCTCCTGGGCCAACGTACAAAAACCATAAAAGAGGACACCAGGTAGGTGACCTGGTAAGGTAGTAGGGTCATTTTAGGTGATGTGTTTTTCATTTTGTCATTGTGAGTAAAGGCAAGTAATGTTTATAGTGTATTTTTGCTAAAAGATGTTTCAGCATTCTGATAATACAACTGTTTTGATATCATATAACTGTGTCATCGTAAAAGTCATTAGATTCGTAATTTCTTAACTGAAAATGGTTTTGGATCAGATAAAAACCACCAATTTGTTAAAAAGTATGTATATTGCTTTTCTTACAATTTCAAAGAATTTCAATCCATGTCCAGAACATCTGGAGTCTCTTTTTAATTTAAATGGCAAATTTATAGGATTCTGATTGTTTAACACTTTGAATATCTAGGGTCAAGATGGCGGCAGTTACAGCAGTGTACCTGACAGTGGTATGTCCACGCCCATTAGGGATCAACAGCCAATGAAAATGCAGCAACCCAGACAGAGGTCACATGATGATGTAGACAGTGGATTTGTTGGCTCTGAGAGCAGTCGACAGTCTCTTTTGCCGGGGCAACACAAGATGAATTTGGGGTGTGTTTTTTGTAGTGTAATTTCATTTATCCTAATCTTGCAAAGATGGGTTATATTTTGATACTGTTTTGGAGGTCTTATTTGTTGGCTCTGTATCTGAAGGCCATGATTTATTCAAATAAGTGCTGTAAATAAATTAATCAGTTACTAGTAAGTCAAACTCTGCAAAATTATCTGAGATGCTTTTGCAGAGTTTTTTGCTCTTTGAGTGCTTTTTAAATTTTAACTTAAGTTGGTGACATTTCAAAAATTTAACTTCTTATTCTTAATTTGAGCAGTAGGGGCAGTAAAGTTCATGCCAGGCAGCGTGTTCCTCAGACTCAGGTTCAGGAGGAACAGCCACAGTGGGCAGAGAGTGTGGAAAGTGGGAGTGATGCCACGTCGGTTCAGCCTAGGAAACGCGAATCCCGAGGAACGTCTACCAAACGTGCCAGCTCCAGGCAGAGGCCTCAGTCCTCAAAGTCGTCAAAATCTCATGGTATGTTTTTAAACAAATCTCAGTTCTTTTTTGGGGATGATTTTCCTTTTAGTGGTTTGTTGCAAATGATAATCATATTTTTTAAAAGTTAGAATATGAAAAATTAACAAACATTCATTTTTCAGAAGACTGTTAGATGTCATATCACTTTTATTGTGTCTGATAATAACTTTTGCTTGGTGATAATTATACAACAAAGAAGTAGACTTTTTAAAACTAAGGTTTTCATCAATCTCTTTTTATTGATAATGCTTTTCACATCTTTTTATAAATATATGAATATATTACAAATATGTTATAACCATTCAATATACAGTCATTCTACTGTCCTATTTCAGACTCCATGTCGTCCAAACCACAGTCCTCCAAGCGTTCCAGACATTCCAGTTCACGTTCCAGTCAGAGGCCGTCCTCTCAGCTCAGCATGCTGACAGAGAGTGATGCCCAGTCTTCTGTTTCTATGGTTTCCAGTACAAGCAGCAGGAGAAGGTATTTATTTATTTATTTGTTTATTTTGTTTTGTGTACTTTGTTCTTTGACAACTGCATCTTAAGAACTGAACAGGAATATTAGCTCTATCAACTCTTGTTTGGTTGTAATTTAAGGGGAAATAATGTTCATCTTAGGTTAATTTAAATGAGAAACTAGCCCTATAAGACGAGTTGCAAAATTAACATTGCTTCATGGTAAATGGTATTGGTTTTGCTGTATGCTCATGCAAGAGCATACTTTTGTTTTGCTTTGAGTTTGGTTTTAGAATGCAATTCTTTTTGATGCCTGAAAATGGTTTTGTTGACACTTGTAGTACAAGGCTGCAATCTTTGCATGAGGAGATAGCTAAAATGAAGGAGAGTCTATTAAACTGGACAGAGTCCCAAAGACAGTCTGTGTTACCTCCACCAAATCTTGGTAAGATATGACAGTATTAGATATTCTGATTTATTCAACTTAGTGAAAAAAAAATGAATAAAAAAAGAAGTGAGTATGAAAAAAAAAAGCAAAAAGACAGTTGTTTGGATTTTATGTGAAATTTAAATTTATCCTGGCTGTGTGAAATTATCTAATCAGTTGGCCTCTTTATCCTGGGATATTGTGGACAAATATAAGACATTGATGCAGTAGCTTTTAAATGCAATAATCAACTGTGCATAACTGATCCAATAACTTATTTTATCATAATTCAAGGTAAAGAAAATGTATATCCAAAATCAGATACAGAGAGCAGGCATTCGCGACACACATCCACTCAACCCAAGCACCATACAAGGTATGATGCCAGGGGCTCCAGAGACTTGACTGCTCCTAGTCACAGACAACAGACTCAGCAAGGCACTGCTGGCAGAGGGCAGCACCAGCCTGGGTGGGGGACACTGAGAAGAGAAGATTTGGAGGGCGACTACCACAGTGGGGTATGTTGGCAAAAGACGGTGAAAATCCTTCAGAATTAACAAACTGCTTCTTCATCAAAGAGTACAAAAATTGTTTGCCCATAGAATGTTTTCTGGACTGTTGTTTAAATGCCATTTTAAAATGCTTTGTATTAACAGGCAGACAGGTGAGTGATTTTATAGAAAAGTTGTATTTGATATGATGAAGTTGCATTACTAAAACGCTGCATTGCTCTTCTGAACATATTCAAATAATTGTTTTTAAGGTAATGAGTTAAACAGTCTAATATTATCATAATTATAATGACACTGATGAAAATTATGATAATGATAATAATAATAATAACGATGATAATTGTAATGGTACAAGAATTCACAGCATTTTAGTACATAAATATTAAGTAAGGAGGTCTAAGCAATTATGTGTAATTATAATTTACAGGGTTTTGATGCAGACCAAAGAAGCAATAGGGAACCAGAGATAGACAGAGCTCCAGCACATGACAGTACAGACATGCCATATGAAAGAAAAGGGTGGACAGGGAGTGGACCTCAGTCCAGATATCCCAGGCACAACACAGATGACTATGACAGTTCACATAGACCATCATACCAAAGGTACCATGACACATACAGACCCAATCAATCCCAGTATGAAGAGGATGACAGGAATTTCCAGGATGAAAATGGAGATTATGACAATGATCCTCATAGGTTGAGAAAATATTATGATTATTACATTCCCAGGTCATCAGGATTAAGGAGCCAAGAGGGGCCGCTGAGGTTTAGACAGTCCAGGGACCAGCCACCCCAGCCGCCTGACTATCACTCCATGTACAGGTCTGGTGGAGGAGTGCCACCCCTGGGGGAATATGAGGATTCTCCACACAGACCACAAAGTCATAGAATGACTAGGTCTGAACTGGGAGGGGGACCAGGGGTTACTGGGGTCAAAACTGTAGCTTGTCCCCTCTGTGGTGGGAGTGGCTATCATACACACACTGAGCAGAACTATGTATATCAACCACAACCAGTTCAACCAGCTCAACCAGCTCCAGCGGTTGCTCAACCAGTGTATGCTATACAGCAGCCCTCAGTGCCACAACCTGCAGTGACTTTGGCTCCTTTAGATCTCACCAACCAGCAACAGCCAGTATACTTACAACCAGTGACACCAGTACAACAACAACAACAGCAGACACAGGACCAACAACAACAACAACCTGTATATTTACAGCCTGTTACTCCAGTACAACAGAAACCAATGTATCTCCAGCCTGTGACACCAGTTGTGATGACTGCTCCAATGACAAGGTACTTACTCAGCTTATGAAACTAAAGATAACTCGCTTCAGTTGAAATTGTTGTGGGCCTACGTTTGCATTTTGTATGAATGGTGTGATTAGCATTAATGTCATTTGCTATGATGTAAAATGGCATATTGCAATATCAATATTGATATATTTTTATAATATTTATAAGACAAAAAATTAATGAAAGTTTGTTTTGTTAACAGTCTTGATTTACAACCATTATTATTATTAAATTACAGCACACCTGCAGTCCCCACCACCCCAAAAGTGCGTTATTATGTCAAAGAGTATGGTGACAATCAAAGCAGGTAAATATTTTCTAGTGATGGCTCTTTATTTTAATGAAGTCCTAAATTCATATTAACCACAACAGATATATTTCATATCTCATTTTGGAATTTAATTGATTAGAAAAATTTGCCTATGAACATTTCACATCTGCAGCAGTGCTGCTTTAAGAAACAGTTGACCCATTACAGTTTTTGTTGTCATTATATTCCTATATATTCCATTTTCACAGCAGCAGTCGAAGCACAAGAAAGTCTCACAGGACAGTAGTATCAGACATTGAGAATGAGGTAAGTAACGTGAAGGAGAGAAATTATGTTTAGAAGAACTGAAAACATAGTGCACGGTTTACTAAATGCAGTTATAAGGGTTAGACATTGCATACCTACATTTGCTTATGATATGATATGTAATATGATTAATGACACACTAAGCTATGGTATGCTATTATATAATAATGTAATGCAACTAGTAAGAATATATTAAAGCAGATTTTAAAAATATTCTTCATGATTGATGTAAGATAAGATAAGTTAGAATCATATGTTTTAGGTTGGTCAGAGAGTAACTATGTGGGTTTTTTTTAATTTCACAGTATGACAGTGAGCTGGAGGATTCACTCCGAGAGGCCACAAGATCAGCGAGAAAATTAAAAAAGATCACAGGAAAAATGCGAGGAGATGTCAAGGATGACCTCTCAAGGTCACTTAGATACAGCACTTTGCTTGCCTGAGACTAATTATTTTGAGTAGTATAATACTAAGTTGCTCATGAAAATAATTTCAATCTCATGTATGTGTTTTTATCTTATTCAGAATTTTTGTAAGGAATATTAAATTGAGCATTGTTTAGGGGTAAATAAAGTAAAATACGAGCACTTTAATTGCGACAAATTGTAAAGAAATTACCTTAGGGGTGTTGTACGTATCCACAGTGTCAAATAATAGTTTTCACATTAAATAAAAATCAGCATTTTACATAGATGTCATAGTATTTTATATGGCTGTCTTAGATGTGATATTTTGCATTCAGATACCCCAAGACGAGTTGAGAGATGTTAGCCAGCTTTTTACAAATTGTTGAGTAAATATTTGCTATTGGTAGGAATTTTTAAACAAAATTAATATATGTTCATGTTACAACTTACAAGAAGGGTGGATAAATTGTTAAGGGAATTGCCCATTTAAGTATTATTTGTAGTTCTGGGGCAGTCAAGGATACAGCAGTGTAGTTTTTCAACATACAGTAATGCTACTAACATTACCCCTGCTTTAGCCATTTGATTGTTCACTGTCAAAGAATTGTGAAACATCTTTACAATGTTTCCAGTTTAGCTCCTTTGTAAAGCCTGTCTGATAATCACATTTTATTGTATTTTGTATTAATTTACATCGGGTATTTAACAGACTTAAAACTTACACAAGTTGCATTGTATGTTTGTGTTTTTAACATTGTTTGATTTCTTCGAAAATTTGCTGTCATTCAGTACAAGTAATCACATTTGTAATATTTGTTCATCATTGTTTAAAATGTTTCCTTTTTTATGAGACATTACAGTTATATAATTGTTTTGTAAACTGATAGGCCAGTTTAATTAAAGAACCATATAATCTTTTTGAAGAGATAACTAAATCAAATCAAATCATGATGCCCTGCAAGCATGTCATACTGTTCACAAGCAATTTTATTTGGTTGTTAAGAAAAACCTAAGCCTTTTGTGAACAGATCTTTATGATGAAGTACCTTTTATAAGATGTACGTAGTATTTATTTTAAAATTTCAGTTTAAAAAAAATGAGTTTAGAAGTGTGTAAAAATTGGCTTATCACTGTTGTACAGTATCAAGAAGTCTGTGCCTTGTATAAGAACTTGCCTGAAATATTTAAAATGATGTGAATTAATACAGTAACTGTACTCCACATTAAAAAAAGTATGGTCACAATGAAAGTATTTTTCTCAAATATGTTTAGTATTCAAACATGATGAGAAATGATGTATTTTTATAAAAATGTATTAAATAGTGCCTTGCAAAATTCATTGGACAGCATGTTAGTTATCATGTTGATTATTTTAGTTTGCCCAGTCTTTCCCTGATAAAAGCTCATACATACATACTGGGAACTGAAAGGATAATTTTCAAAAAAAAAAAAAAAAAAGAAAAACAACAAAGTAACATATAGCGCGTTTAAGGCTACAGTATTGGAGTGTAGAACAGAGAAATAAGACAAATTTTAGACTATAAGATTCCTTTTTCCCTTCGAAACTAGCACAGCGACAACATCATGAAACGTACGTAGGCTGTACCTCAAAAGTCTGCGAAAACATCATTAAAACGAAATTATAGCATAAATATAGGAAATTGAATTTCGTAATGAAGATATTTGGTATGTATTTTACAATGAAAAGTACTTATATCTAATTTTTTGTTTAGGTTTAATTGCAAGACCCTGTGGTCTTTTTAAGTGCATTTGAAAAAAAAAACTCCTCCCCACCAGACTGATATGACCGTCTTTCATTGATATGAGCAAAAGCTGTGCAGGCAGGCTCAATGTATAGGCATATTACATAACAAATCGCCCTTTTAACAAAACTATGTCCGGGGTACGGAGGCGTATTAAACTTTATTTTGAAGTGCTTGTGCAACAAAAGAAAGACGCAAAAAAGTTTTAACCGTAATTGGTCAAACACTGTCAAGAGAGAAAGAATAATTACGTCCGCCTTAATATAAGCCCACTCACTCTCTTTCTATGTGTATATATTGATCTATATTGGGTTCAAGATTTAACTAAACTAGGTCATATATGCTTCTCTTTCAAACAATATAAAATAAACAGAGGGTACGCCGAGACTAGACGGACTGCATAGTCGGCTACCACACCACGTACGGTATACCGTTAAATCTACTTTGCAGCCGACTTTGAGAACAAGACTTTGAACAGAAACAATGAGGATTGGACCCCTTGTCTATAAATTCTTCTCGTCACCTTTTGGGTTGTTCCTCCTGCTGACAATCTATGCTTTGCTGGGCGCAGCAGTCTTCAGTGCCTTGGAGGAGGAATGGTCTTTTGAAACTGGCTTAGCTTTTTGTGGGACAGTTTTCACCACCATTGGTAAGTAATGAACTAACCAAGTCAGAAATAAAGTTTTGTTTTTAATCTTCTATTTCCTACAGCCATATTAATGATTTTGTATCAATATTCCCCCCAAACCATGCCTAGCTCACGGAGCTCACACACCCTGGGGTTCATCGCCCCCCCCCTCCCATTTTTGTTCTTTTTTAAGCTAGCCCGGCTAACCTACAGGCAATTATTAGCACGCTTTTGCCCCCCCCCCCCTCCCCGAACCCCATTTCCAAATACGCTGGAAATCAGGGTACCAGCGCACTAACCAGTTTTAAATTTTTATTGACAACTGCAGTAATCTCTTTTGGTCTGCTTGTACGCAAATGCTTCTCTTCATACAGCATAATGGTCTTTTCATCTTATCACTATGCTTTACAACAACTGCGTAGCAATCTTATATAATAATTCGGTCGTGATTTAAGAACTTCTACTATTATCCATCTGGTTTATATTTAATCTTATCCCCAACAGAAGTCGTGGGCTCTATTCCCATAGGTTTTAGATCGATCTATCCCCGCGGGGAGTCTCACTAGATTACTTTCAGATAATCCGACTTAAATGTCCGTCCCGCCTACTACAACCTGTAAGGAGGTAATTAACTTCCGTGTTCGCCCGGCTGACAGCTATTTAGCGTGAACCCCCAGGGAGTTAGGTCGATCTAAAGTAGGTCGATCTAATCTATGGAAATGGGGTGCTAGAAAACCACCAAGTTTTTCACTCTGGGCACTATTGGGTGACCATGACCTACATAATAACTTACCAAGATCTATTATACCTAACACAAGCTATCCGTTTCTGTCCATCAACCCTAACTTTGAGATTACTGATGATAACCTGTTGCTAGCACCAGTTACCATTCATTATTTACCACAAGGATTATCGAAATATTTGGAAACTGGAATAAGTCACCCAAACGCATTAATGGGTTTGTTTTGTGGGAAAAAAAAAGAAAAAAAAGATCGCGCCCATCCCCTTGTTAATGTAACACTTTTTATACACCATTGTTTTTTACCCTCTACCAGGGCCATCGATTCATTTTTCACTAGTTATTATAAATATGCCCGTGGCTTAGTCTATACATATTTATGTAAAGAATTACCATCGCCAATCCCGTGTGTGGTAAAAAGCATGTATTTATTTTCATTAATTTTTTCCTATTCGATGTGCATTTTGTACTAGTTAAACCATAGTTGTTGTAAAAATGTACAGGTAACAAAATAAATAAGTAAACTGCACGTAAAAGCATATAATTCCTTTCAGGATACGGACACCTCACTTCCCAGACAGTAGCAGGGAAAGTCTTAACCTGCTTGTACTCAGTGATAGGGATTCCACTATGTTTCATGACGCTAGTCGGATTCGGCGACCTTCTCCACAGGGGTGTCAAGTATTTATTAAGACTTCTCCGTCGTCTTTGCCGTGCAGGATGCCGTGGGGGATCAGCCAGAGACGTCGAGGCGACCGCCCTGCCTGTTGTTGGAGACGACTCCGAGGTGCCGCAGTCCGAGGCAGAGGGTCGTTCCTCGGGCCCCGCTGTTATTGATGCCGAGAGTGTCGATGTGAAAGAGGCGGGACACGGAAGAGAAAGGCAGCTTGAAACAAGAAATGACCCCGACTGCAACGTTTGTCTTGTTTTCACCGTTACGCTGGCATGCTTACTTGTTTATGTTTTAATTGGAGCGGCCGCTGCAACCGCGGCGGAGATTTGGTCATTTAGTGATTCTGTTTATTTTATCGTTACTTCTCTTTTCACCATTGGGTTCGGAGACTTACTTCCAGAACATCCTACCCATTCTATAGGCGCGTTAAGTGCGATTTACATATTTGTGGGTTTGATTCTAATGTCTTCGAATGTTCACGCCGGGATAAGTGTTGCGAGGGTTTTTAAAGCTAAGATCAAGGGGTGCTTAATGTAAACCTTCATTGGACTGCGTTAGATCTTTGATTAAAATGCGATCAGTAATAAAATATCATAGTAAAAATGCCATCATATCGTTGAACATATATTAGATCATGTAGTCCTTTTGTACAATTTTTATCTGACATTTATCTCGACATTTTATGTATATCACACTGCAGGTTCAGATCCTTAAGTCAATTTGTAGACAAATTTATATGTCAAAAAATTAGAAAAAATTTGTATAAATTTATTGTCATGTTTCATACACGTAGTAATTGCATTTTTATATATATTACACTTAGTAATAAAGATTACCACAAGTCATTTGTTGGTACAGGTCTTTTAGATTATAATGATCTTAAATTCATTAATTTCAATTCGACTTTTTGATGTCTGTTCCAAAATATGCCCAAAATTTTACATATCTGAAAATATCTGAAAACTTGAACATAATCAATATCCAGATATCTCATCTGAAAAGAACATTAAAAATTAATAGGTGGATTTGAAAATTTTGTTTATAATTTTTCTGTCCCCAGTTTAACTTCATAGCCAAGTTCTTGCCACACAACTGTGTTATAACTAGATTGGACTGATAGCACCACTTAGAAAGTTTTATGTCAGGGGCGGATTTAGGCCGTCTTCTGGGTCTTCCGGAAGACGGTCATATTTTTAAGTTTACATTGACGGGTATCTAATGTTTTCTGTCGGAAGACGGTCAAAAATGGAGGATGGATTAACAAAGATAATTTAGAAGACTGTCAGAAAATATCTCTGGATCCGCCCCTGTATGTCTTGGTTCTTTTGATCTCTGGGTATGCATGAGAACCTGAAACCAGTAAGACATTTCAGTATAGCCTGCAATTAACTTGTACATCCATGAAGTGATCATCAGAATTCTTTCAAAGGATCATTAGAGATCTTTAAAACGGACCAAAGAGGTGTGCCTGTAGCCTGTAGGTTTCAGGGCTGATTCTTAAAGATCTTCTTTAAATCGTAAGAAAGTCTCAGCTTTTTTTCATCTTGATAAATTTGTGTGCTTTTCTCTGTGCAGCCTTCCTCTTGCCTCGTAAAGTTTTCTTTGCCTGGAGCTGCTCAGGAGGGTCTGGTGGCACTAGACCATCTGTTATTTTATAGTACAGGATGGTAGAATCACTGGCAACAATGGCTAAGGTCAGACTGTAAAAAGGAATAACAGACTATATAAAGTATGTTTTTTATTACATAATTTTTTCAGAAAAATGAGGCTGCAATCCTGCATATATGTGTCAAACATTTCTTCACAATCTGATCAAAGAAAAAATAAAAAAGGTTGCTGAGATTTCAAAAGCAACTAAATAAAATGCTTTTGTGTTTCAATTTATCTTTTCTATTCAAATATATGACACATTTCTACTACATGCCATTTTCCTATGCACCAGTGAAACAACACAAACAGAAACCTGAAATTCAAGAAATGAAAATCTCAAAGACTAAAACAGTATTTGAGTATAATCCTTGTTCATACCTTGGGCATTCCACAGATGGATGCTTGATATGATCAATGTACTGCTTCATCTGTGCTATGTTAAGCTCAGCATCATTTCCAATAGGTAACATCAGGTGGGCTTGACCATCTCTCTCAGACTCCTGGGCAGTAAGGAATATCATCTTTAGTTCACTGCATGGATGGAGAGAAACTTTGGCCCATTGCTTGGCTGAAAATAAATGACAGTATACCTCTAGTTACATTATCATGCATAAAAAGACGTGTAGCAGGGCATTGTGGGATATTTTTTGGTACTTTTTTAATATTTAGTTTTCTTCAAATATAATGAAAATCTGGTGAAAAAGGAAATATGCTAAATTAATGAAACAAATATCAATTACAGATAACACTGAAATATGAATTATTTTCTTTCTCTGTACCAAATAATATTTAATTATTTGTGCAAGTAAAACTTGCTTGTGAGAACCTATGATAGCCAGGGCACGTTTTTTTGGGTAGGACAATAATTCGCAATACATCGCAATAAACTAGAAAAAATGGGTCCAGTTGCAAATAAATATTGGTAACAGTCATTCCCAACAAAATAGGATTATATAAAAGCAAAATATATTATTGGGTAATTAATATTGTTGATACCAGATAACAAATCAGCAGAACTTGCTTGTAAGTTGGGTGAGCTGTCATATCAGCAAGTGGCTATTCTTGACTGGTATTATTGCCAGAAAGAGCCACTCACCAATGTGGCAGCTGACCTGACGATTAACAAGTAATACATTTCACTTTCATATTACCCACTTCCTATGTTTACTTGTGACTGGACTTGTTTTTTATAGTGTGTTGCACTGTATTGCACATTGCATTATGGTCATACCACTTTTTGTCCTATGAACTCAAAGGTTGTTTCAAACTACCTTCACACAAATCAAGATACACCAGCATTGCTTGCAAGGCTTGATCAGAATTGTTGAAACCATGCGACATCATCTCCTTATACTGAAATGAAAAATACAATAGTATTTTGCAGGTGCAAAATTGATAGGTCAACAACGTCAAATCATAAATAAGACAATAAATAATAGCACATAAATAGCATGGAGCAGAGAACATGTGCACAGGATCATGCTTTTGGCACAAAGTTTGAAAAACTGGATCTTTATTCTGTTGGGAACCTTGAATGTCTTGCTCGATCCTCGTTTTAATTTTTATTTAGAATTTTGTGACCTCAATTATTTAACTTTTATTTTTTTAATTAAAATGAAATCAAAACAACATACTGGGTACCTTGGGATTTAAAAGGAGACTTCATTGAACTTCTTTTAAATGCTTACCGATTTTTACCAATTTTTGCCAAATGGCAGGCTTTTATGAAGATAATTAGTCGTTTAACTTTAATGAGGTAAGATTCAACCAGACCTAGCGTGTAGCAAAATATCACGTTATCTTGTTATAAAGAAAAATACGTTTTTGCTCACCTTTGGATGCGAAAGGAGCCAGTTTGCTTCACCTGCTGCGACACCAACATCCCCCATCACTACACGACAGTAAAAATTACAGTGCCGATCCAAAATATTAAGCTACATGTTTCGCGTTACGACGATTATCACGATCACTTCTTCTCAAGTTGGTCTTAACACAGGAGGCTGCCATCTTGAAAACCAAGTCATTTGCAATCAATATAAGATACAAACTTAGTAGAATAAAATAATATAAAAATGCCTTTAAATATCATAAATAGATAATAATTATGAAAAGTATTAGTTGAAAAGTAAATCACTCTTTACAATACTAAAAAAGAATAAAAATTTATCAAATTTTAATAATTTATATCAAGCAGCTAATACCTGTCACGAAATCACGAAAAACAACGCGGGATTTGATGTATACGAGAACTGTTGCTTTGGGAACGTTTAGAGGAGGGAATTCCAAAGTAGATCACGTAATATCACATTATTTTGGCGTAAAATTACTAGCAAAAGCTATTTTGTTAAACATTAAACAGGTTCGATTCGTGCAAGGCTTTAGAGAAATACTCTGTATAGTATAAATCCCTCAAAACCGATCCAAATACCAGGCGTAAACAAAGCTCCGCCATATTGGATGTCTGCTGTCAGTCGGTTAGAGTATTATATTTATGATATGCGGTTAAATTGAAACGTGAATGATGGCTGAAACACAAGCCATACGTGTTGTTCCAAGTGGAAAGATATACAGGCAAATATTTGACTCTCAGGTAAGATTTTTACGTTCCTACTGGATTATAATTGTATCAGTGGCATCGGAAAATTGATCATGAATCTCATTCATATGCTACATTTTCCACAGACATTCTTCTACTTTAACAAAAAACTTCAGACAGTTTCTTCTGACCGTACTTAAATTAAACTGTATACTCTTGCTACTAGTTACACCATTTAAGTTTATTGAAGTATCACTTCTCAGTACTGGAACGTGTTAATTGTTCGAATCTGGTGGTTGTCTTTTTGTCTGACAAGTTATCTGTTTTTTTTACAGGTGCAGCTGGCCAATGTTCTAGAGAAAACTTCAGAAGAAAGAACTAAGAAGGGAGTGAAAATAGTAGAGCGGCCAGGAGGGATACCAGTGGTTAAAGAGAAGAGGCATATTACAGAAGGCACTGGAATTCTAAGCCAAAGACAAAAGACGTGGATAGAAGGCTTTCCAAATGACTATTCAACAGAAAATCCTGTTTTATACAAGTATGCTGGTTTTGATTAATAACATGCTGGATTGATGGCTTGAAAATTAGTTAAATAATACATTATGTATTATTTTATAGTCCCTTACGAAAAAGTCCTTCAGGATCCTATAAGATCCTAAAGAGTCTATTGGAAATTGGCCGAATTTCCTATAGGATCCTATAGGATCTTATAGGATCCTATAAGACTTTTTCCTTAGGGGTGTGATGAATATGATCCAGTATGAGTCAGATAATATTTGTAGGACAGGTTTTAAGATAGTGATAAATGTTGCAGTATCAGTTTAAATAGCAACCACGGTATTTTTATTTTCTGCCTAAAGACTGTAAACAAACACAATTAGATTGTCTCAAAATAAATTTTGTTCCTAAAGTATCAGTGTTAGGGCCATTTCTGCAAAACCTTTATACAATTAAAAATACAATTGCCTTCTTTGTGTTGCAGACAAGTGACAGAGTTCACAAACCAAAAACTTGCAGAGCCAGAGAGCAGTGTTGTGGGGAGAGAAGTAAGGGGATTGCCTGATATTGTGGGTAAGTAAACAGGAAATTTCCTTGTTATTATTACTTTATAAGTACTTTGTGTATATTACTTGTTCTCTTAAGCTTGGGTATAGGACAAATGTGTCATAAAGATTTAAAAAGATAAATTGCTTTGTCATTCAAGAATTAAGAGAAAAATAATGGCTGTGTAAGAAAACATGAAACAAATAGTATTTTGTTTTTCTCAAAATTAAACAAGATAACATCCACAAAATGGTAAGGTGTACTATTGTAATCCATTTTGAAGTTGGTTATGTTAAATTTCACTTGTAATGGGTAGAACGGTATATTTTGGGTGCTGTGAATTGTGCTTCAGTTCACACCTACCACAATATGTGAAATGTTTGTGTTTTCAGTTGCTGCCAAGCCAGGTTCTGATATCATCCAGAGGATAGCTGATAGTAGAAGAGAAAGGTAAGTCAAGGAAAGAAAAAAACAGATAACTATGATATCTTGATGTCAATACTTTTTTCCTTAATATTGCCCCAGTTAGACTTGATTTCCCTGACTATTAAATAATTTTCAAGGTGTATTATTTGCAAAATTTGAAAATCAGAATTCCATTTGTGAAATATACATGGTGAGACCAGAAGTTTTTCTATGAAAGATATTTTGTTACATTTTCAGACATGAAAGAGCTCTGGAGGATATGCACCAGGAGCTGGGTGTCATCACTGCAGTAAGTACTTTTATATTGAATAAACTGTAAGTACTAATATATTGTAATTAATTTATTTTGAATCAACTGCTATGCATGCTCTAAGTGAATTGACTTTTACACTCTCCAAATTTTTACATGGAATTATGTGCATGGTACTTGTTTCACACACTTTTAACCTAGCTCTGCAAGCACTGTGGATGTGCTGTAAGAAGCCAGTTTTCACAAAATATTTTTATGTGGGTGGCCCTGGAGTATTGTTATGTACTGATATGTTCTTTATTTCAGGATCTTGAGCCAAGTATTATTGAGGCTGGTGAGAAGCTGATGTCCATGCTGAAAGAGAATGACCAAGAGATTGACCTGTTAATGTCAAGAATAGAAAGTGATGAGGTATTGTTAGAGAAATAAGTGGATAAGTTTTTATATGCATCTCACGGCATCTGTATAACACTGTTCCCATAGAACAATATTTAGAAGTTTGGTACTTTGTTTTTAGAAGTTTGGAACCAGTTTAGAGAGAAATATTTCATTTGATGAAATGACTGAAATGCTTTTTATAATATAAGTCTTTTAAAAGCATGTCATTGTCATTTTAAGTACCCAAGAATATTTTTGTCTTTTCTCTGTCATATACAACCCTTTGATTGAACATCCTGTACATGTGTATTGTGGAAAATGTGTATATATGTACCTTTCTCTGCTACTATCAGCTATCATCTGGATTTTTTAATGGCATTCCACAGAATCATCTCCAGAATGTAAAGACACAAAATCATAATGTTTATTAATTTCACTGAAAATGAAGTTTTAGTACTATGATGACACATATGCAGTTGTAGCACGGCAGCGTATTTTTCTTGACTTTCTCATTTCTTTTTCCCATAGAATCTTCTCACATTGACCCTGACAGAGCTACATGAGATTTGGGATGCCATACAGTCTCAGACCAGTCTGAGAAGAGGAGGAATAGAAGAACTAGATTCTACACTGAGTGAAGTAGAAGATGACAGGATGGAGAGGGTAAGGGGCAGCAAAGGAGGAAAAGGAGAACATGTCTCTTACATTAATTTTCTTTATTAATTCATTATGATATTTTACATCCTACATTTTACAATGATTTATCACGTACAATGTACATACATAACAAGGACAATATAGTGATGCATGATTATATTAAGCTTAGTGAAACCGAAAACTTGGACCTGTTGTTAATAGTGTGCCACGGCTGATTGAATGTGTTAGGTCTTTCATTGTTGCAAGTGGTTAAATAATTTGCTTGCATATTTAAAAGAAATCTCTGGTGAAAGTTTTTTATGTACACACAGGTCATAGAATGAATAAGTTAGGTTATGGAAAAGTTACGTTGTGCAGATTATTATTGCTCACTGTGGAAACTTTGGTTAGGGTATGCAGAAAAGAAAAATATTAACTTTAGCTTGTTGTATAATTTTGATTTTCTTAACTTAAATTTTGATAAGTTTATACCATGAGCGTTGTGTCATTTAAGTCCTTTGTTATTTTCCAGATCCGTAAGGTGTTCAGTGAGTATGCTGAGACCCTAGAGAAGATATCCCATCTTATGGCACCTGATCTTAGTCGACTAATGGACATGGAGTCACAGGTAACTGCATCATTCTTATCTAGGCTTACACTAACACATTCTGTTTTAGCCACTTTATAAAGATCATCTACTTTTGCTAAAGTAATGTAGATATTTCATATCTTAGTGTTTTTCAAGGAATTCTTTTGTGTGAAATATCTTCTTTATAAGTTTGTTAAACCTTAGACGAGTCATGCAGTCATGCTCAAATTCTGTCAGATCACGCTTTAAATCAAGATATCTTTTAACACTGACATATTTTTCAATTCTTACTGATAGACATATCAGATAGTAGCAGTGATCACTTATGTGGTTTATTCAAAAACAAAATTATATATCATATTATATCATGAAACTATGGTTTATATTTGAATCTGAATTCAACAAAGGGTTTGTAGATATTTAATGGTATATACATAGTGTAGATAAGTACATATGTACTTTAAAATCTTTAACAATCACTGCTTATTGGTGTATCAGTCTACAGTAAAGCTTCTGTTCTTTTTTTATGAAATAAGATAAAGCACTGTGATATGGAGAATGTGGTTATAATAGTTTATTTTAGCATCTTTACACTACATATCATTTTCAGTTGTCATTCTGCCTGTTGAAATATTCAACAACAGTCAGGGCATAAAATCTAGGAATGTGTTTGTTAAATGTTGCAGCATAATTGAATGAAAATAGGTCGGGATACATAACAAGCATATACCCACAGATATCAGCATGTGTTTTTGCATGATGATTCAATGCCTATTAGATAAAGCACAACCTCTGACTAAACAATATTGATTGTACTTGTCTGACATTGCCATGTATTGATTGTATGAGGAAAATCTCTCTTTGTTGATGATTAAGTGATTGCCTAAATATTGGTATTTATTGAATATCTAATACAAATTTGCACTTTATCAAATTGAAGTTACAGATGGTAAAATCTTTACATACATATTTTTATATATTGAGGTAAAGTCAGGCAATATTGATATTATATATATAGCATTTAAAAAACATATGAATTTGACTTAAGCATGTTGAAAACCATGTCTGATAGTGGCATCATTTCAAATAAAGGTATTTTAGGTTAAATTTTACAGGAGGGTACCCATGCTCAAATTCAATGTGACAATTTTCTAGTTCATGGTGAGATAATATCATTAGCAATGTAGCCATTATGCAGAGCATTGTTTTTCCTTTCCTTACAAGATAAATCTCCGTGCTTAACACCAGATGACTTTGTAATGTAGTCATATATCTTCCCAACTTTACACACTCCATTTGTTTTACAGGGACATTCCATCCCTTCTTTCCACTCCCAGTGTTTGTCATTGTTATTCAGAGGGGGACTTTGTAACGTAGGTGACACCCCTTGGTTCATGTGATGTCCCTGGGGTGTCACTTCATACTCCTGCAGTGGCAGAGAAAGCGGAAGGCTCATCCCATTCTGTCCATTTGAGGAAAGGACCTCAGAAGGCGAAAATTTGATCCCATTTGGTTGAGTTTTGGGATTGGCGAAAGTGTTCCAGTTATCGGGTCGTTTGGATAACTTGGGAACTGGAATGGTTCTTCCATTTTCTTTCTCTTGTATAAGGAAGTCTTCTTCCTTTGTGATCTGCAGTGGAGGATGTCCTGGTACTGCCTCCTCTTTTCTGGGAGCTTTGCTGCATATTTTACAAGTGGATTGATATGGCTTAAGTGGAATGTACTTAGTTTTACCTCTACACTTGATGATCATATCCACTTTGATCTCCTCAGTAGTGTGTATCATGTAGCGGGTGGTTTCTTTCTCTCGTCCCTCCCTCTGACTGGAAGTGTACACTATCGTTGAGTCAGTGCGGAAGTTACTCATGGTCCTGGTGATGGTCCAATGTGGCTTTGGCGATGTCCTCACTGTGTTCTCGCTGGTGTAAAGCATTGGACGCATCCTGACGGAATTGCTTGCAAGGATTTGGGAGAATTTGTGTAGATTACACTTTAAATTACCCCTAGCTGGATGTATTTTTCACTTAGCTCTCTCTGCGTGGTTATTTCTGTCAGCCATGCTTCCAAATATATTCACTTTGTAAGATGTTGTTTTTTATCTTGCAAAAGTTTTTTTTTTTTTTTTTTTTTGGTTATTATTTTTTTTAACTTGATGAAAGTTCTTCTCAAGCAGTGACCAATATAAGTTAATATATATTGTTTCATAAACAGGTCTTGGTGAAGTTCCTGTAAGATATATTTGCCTCTGCTTACAACTGCAGCTCTTATATTAATCCACTGGCATAATACAATTCCTATAGTAAAAAATGTTTATACTGCCCCTCAGTGTAATTTCCACGCACTTGGTTCAGATCCTGAATTTTAAGCTTAAAATAGTATTGCCGTACTGTACTACTAAGTACTAACAGATAGGTCCAAAGAACTGAATCAGTTCAAGTCACATCAGTTCCCATAATTGATTAGAATAAATCCATGGTTTCCCCTTTCTGTTGATCAGATGGGGGCGGTGTTTTCACAGACAGAGAGCCCTGCACCATAATTTCCTCTACTATGATCTTGGAGGTCGTCTCCCATCCAGTAAAAGGGTTTCCTGCATCGAACCCGTATTTCTGGGTCTCCGTACAGTCACCGATAACGAAGTCAATTTTCACCTGACCTTCCGGAATACCACTACAGATACCATCAACTGAAAAATAGCAAAGAATATCACCATGGTGATTACTTGTAATTGCCTGTAAATAGTACTTAGATGCACTGTTTTTCAAGGAAATTGCATGAATGTAAGTGATTAATTCATTTGTGTGTGGGACAGAATTGCGTAGGGGAATTGCGCAGCATTTTTAATTCTTCTCAGAATGAGGCAGCCTCTGACTCCTGTGAATCTATGAACCATTTAGAAGAAAACATTACCATGTTCAAGAATGCACCTGGGATTTAGACCAATGGGATAATTTCAAATCTACCCTTTTCCTTTTTCACTGAAGTACTTAAAATTGTTTTCACTATTATTATTTTTATTTTGAAAAAATGGTGTCCTGGTGTAGCATTGTTTAAGCATAAAAAAATAGTTCAAATTTATTTTTAATTCTGCAGCCTACAATTGAACACTTATAACATAAGGTGCATATTCTGGATTTTGTAAATTTTAAAGAGAAATAATAAAATAACTGCTCTTTGTATCATAAGCAAAATTCATGGAATTGTTCAGATATTTCCTCCCTGTTATTAAACACACACACACACACACACACACACACACACACACACACACAAAAAAAAAAAAAAAGTAAAATTGAGCCAGCCCACCTTACCTGTACCTGAGCTTGTTTACCACAACTGTTTGTTATGCAGTAAAATATAATGGTGTTATCTGTTATATACAAAGTATGACACTGGGTAATCATGTCAACTAACAGGGCATGAATTTGTATGTATATGTATAACCACAGTAAATATATATAGAGGAGATGCAGCCATTCATATGTTTTGAGAAAAAACTAGAAATGTGGGTGTCATTATTCCTGAAGCATGAAAATCAATTTGAAAACATATGGTAAGAAAGGATGACAAATGATGTTTTTTTGTTTGACCTAATGTGTAAAACATAATTATAATTTTTTTTTGCTTAAATAAATGAACTTGAGATTACAGACATTTATCAGGGACTCCAAAAGTTTACCTCTCATTGAGACATATATCTTAACACGTATACTCCCCCCTCCCAACCCCAAGGGGGAAAAAATTAAAACTGTTCAAATGTCCTGCTAATGTAAACATATTTTTGTGTAGCTTTTTTTGCCAGGATACCCAAACAGTTAACTTTAACTTCTTAATAACTTATACCTAAGATAAACCAATTTGGTCAGCTATGATATGCCTGTGCAAATAACATTTATAATTTTTTTTTACTTTGTGATGACTAAGAATCTGAAGACCCTAAATTTTAAACAAATAATTATTTTAGGTGGTGTAGGTGTGAGATTCTATACTTCCCTGCTGGTTATTGAGCTTTTTTCCTCAATACCTTTATTTTTGTGCACATGACCTGACAACATCATGACAGGAAAATGGATAATGTGAAATGTGCTTCTTCTGTTTGAGAACAAAGGTACTCCTACCCTTTTCCTATCATAACAGGGTGTTGTAAGTTTTGCATGTTAAACTTTTTAAAAATTTTGAATGACATTTGCAACATGAAAGTGTCACCCTGCCTTTGTACACGTTTTCTGGAATATAATCTTGTCACTGTATTTTGATATCATGTTATTATTTCCTCTCCTACATGGGTAATTAGATAAGTCATTAGACTAAGTGTAGAAATAAAGGCAAGAAAGAAACCGTGAGAAAAAGACTCATTCAAGTGGGCATACTTACAAATGAACTTCCCAGTTAAATGCAGCTTTTTGTGTGCATTATTCTCTTTTCCAAAAATGGTGGAATTTGGTTATCATTGAGTTTTGTTTGCTATACTCCCAGAATGATTGAATCTCATCAAGTCTTAGAATGATAAAAAGATCCCATTGTTTATGCTATATTCCAAGTTTGATGGAATCCTTGGAATTAAACATCCTTTTTTTCTCAAAATGATGGAAGTTGAGCAAATGATACATATTCCTAAAAATAATAAGAGTCCATAGATCCTGTATATCCTAGCTGAGCATGATGGAAGCTCATTGATAATATTTTGCCTGTAGGTGGTATGCACATATGTTTCACTGGGATTTAAAAACCTCTTACAGCTGTGAGAAAATATGCCACCTTTACATGTATCTCATACAAGTTCTCTTACGCCCAGCTTGTCTTTTTCTTTTATGTCAACCTGTTACTTGTATGAAAATCTTTATTTTATGAGTGGGGGATTATTTTCATGTACAATGATGATGGACTTCTTTCACCATAGCAATACTGTCTCTAGCTTAGGCTATGTGCAATAAATTATGTTTGCCCTGGGCTGTACACGAACCTGTTTTGAGGAGAAATAATGAATTATTAAACATTTATTGTCTTGTGTCATTTTGATATCATTGGTAAGCTTGAAT